AACTCAGATTTGCATTCCATTAAGGCACATCTAGCTTCTTACCCCTCTAGGAAAACCTTAACAGCACCCCACCACTACCATTATCTCTACTGCTTTACAGATGTGTCAGATTACCTTGTTCCAGCTCCTCCTTACCCTGCAATTGATCACAAGGCCATAGCTAAGGGTATAACCTTCTTCCATACCTATTCCATGTTCACTTTGTCATCACCTCAGCTGAATGGGGTTATTTACATTCAACCTTCATTCCTTGGCAATCTGAATCCTCAATGTTATTGCCTTTGAGTTGTTATAGTTTTTAAATTAACTTTTACTAAGTGGTACCCCAAAGAGACTCCTAGGTATCCAACATCGTCTTTCCTTTTTCTCATGAAGAGAAACCCAGTTTTTGTGGGGGGTTTTGTTAATTTGGATTGAATTACCCAGACAGTTCAGTAACTCCTTTGTTTGCCTGTTGGTTCAGTGACCCAAAATGGCCAAGTGACCATCTCAGCTTCCAGTAAAAGAAGAATCACTGGAGCAGTCTGTAGAAGTGTTCCTCCCTCGGAGCTGCATCGGATGCTTCTTGTGTACCACTTCACATTCTCTGACCTAATTTTTATTCCAGCCAGTTCTGCACAGATTCAACCAGCTTCACATAGATACAACTTGACAGCATTACCTCATGCCTGCTCTACCTGCTTCTTTTGTCCTGCCATTCCTACCATAGGGTTTCTCTGATTCCCTGGAGTAGAATATCATGGGAGGTCAGCTTAACACTCATACACACACAACCTGTAAGTGTAAGGGTGTTAATTTATGTTTATTGTATTACAATAAAGTATTACAGATGTTCCTTTTTTTCCCCCATTGAACCCTTGTAGTCCACACTATTATCTGTGTCCATGGGTTATGCATATAAATTCTTTGCTTAATCTCTTCCCATCCACCTTAAGTAACAGATGCTGAGAGGAAGGGAGAGAGATAGATAGTTAGAAACATCGATGGGAGAGAAACGTCAATCAGCTGCCTCCTGCACATCTCCCACTGGGGATGTGCCCGCAACCCAGGTACATGCCCTTGACCGGAATCGAACCCGGGACCCTTCAGTCCGCAGGCCGACGCTCTATCCACTGAGCCAAACCGGTTTCGGCATAAATTCTTTGGTTAATCTCTTCCCATCCACCTTAAGTAACAGATGCTGAGAGATGTTTAATATATGCTTCTCCTGTTTTCACTTAGGTGGATGGTCCTATCATGCATTTCACCAAGGCTTATTCCTTCCTGGTGGTGGCCAACTCAGTAAGCCACCCCACTATTGGTTCTCCCTTCTTCCTTACTTACCGCCTCTACTGTCACTTCTCACATGAGATATTATTCACAAATAAACTACTAGCAAATAAGACTTTATCTCAGTCTCTGCTTTTTGGGCAACCCAAGCTATGACAGAATCTAAGATCTCTAAAACAGGAGCCCAAAATTGTGAGGGTGGGAAGCAAAAATTCTGTGAGTATATTACTTGATCTGATAATGACAGAAATTGGTCCTGCTACCACATCCCTTAATTCCCAGACTCATGAATCATGGCTATGGGGGAAAGAGCATCATATATGGGTTCCTGGTTCAAAGTATATACCATATTCTATAGGACTTTACACCAATCTTTCTGGATGAAATCAGCTGTCACAACTGAACCTTTCTATAGGCAGTAGCTGTAAAGCTAGAAAAGAACATGCTATCATCCTCTGAATCCTCCTTTCATGCACCTTCCAGGGGATCCATCCACCTTGATTGTACTTGGTTGATGCACAGAATGGTGAGCAACAGAGATTTAATGAATGAGGGCAGAAAGAGAATGTACAGAGGAAAGGCAAGAGTGCAGATATGTTTCAGAACAAGGCTGGGGAAATAGAGAATTAAGGAAATTATGCACATATATACACACTAGAGGCCCAATGCACGAAATTCATGCAAGGGGCTTGGCCCTCACAGCCCCAGCTTCGTCTGGATGTGGAACGTCGTCTGGAAGGACATCCCAAAGGTTGTTCTTCTATCTGGTCTAATTAGCATATTACGCTTTTATTATAAATAACAAGAAATTTGCAAGATTTTATTTTTTTAATATATTTTATTGATTTTTTACAGAGAGGAAGGGAGAGGGATAGAAAGCTAGAAACATCGATGAGAGAGAAACATCAATCAGCTGCCTCCGCACACTCCCTACTGGGGATGTGCCCACAACCAAGGTACATGCCCTTGACCAGAATCGAGCCTGGGACCCTAGAGTCCCCAGGCTGACGCTCTATCCACTGAGCCAAACCAGTTAGGGTGAAATGTGCAAGATTTTAATCAACAAATTTATAAAACTTTACTAAAAGACTAAGAGAAGATCTAAGTAAATAGACATGAAATACTCCTTAATGGGAAGATTTGCTATTAAAACTTTGTCCACTCTCCCTAGTGTAATTTATAAATTTGATGCAATCCTAATCAAAAGTCAGCAGGGCTTCTTTTATTAAATTTATTGGGGTAATGGTTAATAGGATTACATGGGTTTTGAGGTGTGCAATTCTGATACATCATCTGTATATTGCATTGTATGCCCACCACCCAAAATCAAATCTTTCATCATTGGATAAAGAAGATGTGCTACGAATATATAATGGAAAACTACTCAGCCATAAGAAAAGATGAAATACTGCCATTTGTGACATGGATGGATTTGGGGACTATCATGCTAAGCAAAATAAGTCAGACAGAAAAAGAAACAAATTATTTTACTCTTATGTGGGATATAAAACTGAAAGCAATAAATGAAAAGCAAACAAAAATTCATAGACACAGACAACAGTATGGTGTTACCAGAGGGAGGGGAGGTGGGGCACTAAAGGGTAAAGGGAGTTAAATATATGGTGTCCAACAGGATTTTTTAAAGACTTTAGGGAGATACCTGTAAGAATCCCTAAGAAATCAATCAAAAAGTGTTTAAAATAGACATGCTTGCACATTTGATTTTATAATAAACATGACATTTCAAATCAATATGAAAATGATGTACTATTCAAGATATGGTGTTGAAATAATTAGCCACCTATTTGGGGGAAAAAAAAGAAAGTTAAACCTCTATGTTTGCAATCTACATAAAGGTAACTTCTAAATGGATGAAAAAAATATCCTCGGGTGAGGATTAACAAAAAATAAATGAATGAAAAAGCAAAATATATAAAATAGGATTAGAAAAAATAAAAACTTTAGCATAAAAAACTGTTTAAATATTTTCCATATTGTTTCCAGTGGTTCCAGTATCACTTATTGAATAGTCTCTTTTCCACTGATTTCAGATGCTATCTTTATCACTAAGTTCTCTATATACTTGAGGCTATTTTCCTCAAGTACAGTATACTTTAAATTCTGTTCTATTGATCTGTCTATTCATAAATCAGTACCATATTTTTCATGAACAAATATGCTTTAATACATGCTGGTTTTAAAATGTCTGTCATTTCTTTGAACTCTTTCCTTCAAATGGTGGAGCCTAATTCCCCTCTTCTTAAATGTGGTCAATACTTAAAGATTCACTTCTCACAAAGAGACTGTAGTACACTGATGTGACTTCCAAGGCTAGATCATAAAAAGGATAGCTTCCACCTGGATAACTATTAGATCACTCACCCTAGGGAAGCCAGCTACCATGTCATGAGGACACTCAAGCAGCCCTTTGTAAAGGTCCACATAGTAAGAAACAGGCCTCCTTCCAACAGAAAGCACCCCCTTGGCAGTCATTTGCATCAGCCACCTTGGAAGTGGGTCCTCCTAAGAGACCACATGCCAGAACTGCCCAGCCAAGTTACTCCTGGAATGCTGGCCCACTGAAAGTGTGAGAAGAATACTTATTGTTTTAAGCCACTAATTTGGGGGTGTGGGGATAATTGGCTAGGCAGCAACAAATAATATATTTAAGGCTTTATAATATACAACAAAACTATTGGCTATTGTTGATTTTGGAGTTTTCTTGACAATTTTTTTTTTTTACACAATCTTTATTTTCAGCTTGGCATGTGTGTGTGTGTGTGTGTGTGTGTGTGTGTGTGTGTACATAGAGGAAATTACATGCTACAAATTAATTTGAGAAAAACATATTTTATTTCTATCCAAGAATATTATTTTTCCATTTGTCCAAGTCTTTTCTTCTGTACTTCATTAATATTTTAAAGTTTTATTCATATATTTTCCATATTTATCATTTAGTCTTAATTAGTATTGGAATTTTTTCTATTTTAAATGGTATTTTTATCCATTTTACACTCTAATGTTTATGGGTCACTTAAATACTATCTAACTAATTATTTATGCATATTAAGTTTATTAAATTATCTCATTTTTTGCAGTAGTTTCTCAGTTGATTTTCTTAGGTTTTCCATGTAAACAATTATATCATCTGCCAGTAGCAAAAATACTTATGTCTCAATTTTTTTATCTAAAGTATTCTCTGGGACCCAGATTATAAATTCCATAAGTTCAGAGATTTTTGTTACTTTGTTCTTTGTCTCCAGCACTTGAAACACTGCTTGGCACAGAGTATGTGCTCACTAAATAAGTGAAGTAATTAAATAAACTGCATAAACTAGCCGCTCCAGTACAGTGCTTAGTAACAGTACTAATAGTGGGCACCCTTGTCATCTTGTTCCTGACATGAGTGGGAATGTCTCTATATTTCCCCATTAAGTTTGATGTTGGATTTGGGGCTAATTCAAATGTATTATTGTCTCATGTTAAGTAAGTATCTATTTCCACTATACTGAACATTTTTATCTGAAACGGTTATTGAATTTTAGCAAATGTGCTCTTTTATGAAAGACAGTAACATTATTTTTTCAAAAACTCTTTACACATTTGAAAGCATTTAAATATTTTAGTTCAACAGTTGAAATACAGAAAAGCAATAGCTATAGAACTGTGCAGATGCTAATTTAAACAATAACAGAAAAGTGCTTTAAGTTATAGTATTTAAACTTCACTATTTAAATTTCATTCATTACATTGGTATAATATCTCATCTCAGTATCTACAATTTTGACAAATACTTGAAAAGATTTTTGTTCAGAAACAGATGCTGGTCTGACAGAAACACATTTGAAAATATTATTTTTCTGGTCATAGTTTCCAACACACCTATGAACTTGGCCTCTAATCAGTCTTGGAAGTTCACGATCCTGTTTTTAAAAAGATAAATATCAATAGTCATTTATTACTTCATCTAAATTTCAACTGTTTGAAACTATATGACCAACTAAATATGAATCATCCAAAATGCTATACTCCCTTACCTGATTTAGGGCCCCACTGCTGACAAGACCATGACAGCTGGGCATATATGAGTGCCCTGTCACAGAGCAAAGACCTTTACTTGGGTAGGGCTTCTTACAAGCTAGCAAACTGCTGCTCCTTAAAAGACTGACTGATTCTCAATGAAATGGCACATGAATTACTCACTTCTATAAGACTGCCAGAGTTCTACTTTCAGCAGATGGCAGAAAGGTAGTTCATACCAACTCTCCAAGAACAACTGGAACAGCTGGGTGAAATACTTAAAAATCTCATAGATTTCAGAGAGATACTAAGGCAATGAGGAATTATAGACTCCATCTGGGAAAGGAGAGGAGTCCAGAATGGGGCCTGATATTTGGGGATGCTTTCCCCTTGAGGTATCTGTCAATCATAGTCAAGGCAGTGAGAGTCTAAGAAACTGAGCAGAGCTTTTGACAGGTTCATAGGGGGAAAAAATAGAATCAGAGGCTCGTAAGAAAAAGAGATTCTGGTAACCACCCCTATCCCACCCCAGATTTAGGATTGGGAACCAAAAGGGCTATGCCTTAATGGGACTAACAAACCAGAAAAAAGATCATCCAGCATCAGAGTCTCTTGATCATGAGTATATTTAAACTATTCTGGGATTGCTTTCACTAAATTGTCATAAAAAGCATTAACTATAAGGAAAGATGTTGATTACTGCTAAAAGAGCTATATTAAAGTGAAGAATTTCTGTTCCTCAAAAGCCACCATTAAAAGTTAAAAAGCAAACCATGAAGTATAAGAAAATATTTGCAATATACATAATGGACAAAGAACTTGTACCAAGAATAGTACTTTTTTTATCTCCTATAAATCAATAACAAAAAGACAAATAACTCAATAGAAAAAAAGAACATGAGCCCTAGCCGATTTGGCTCAGTAGAGCACCAGCCTGCGGACCAAAGAGTCCCTTGGTTCGATTCTAGTCAAGGGCAGGCTCCTCCCTGGCCCGGGCCCTGGTCAGGGTGCATGCAGGAGGCAACCAATCGATGTGTTTCTCTCACACTGATGCATATCTGTCTTTCCCTCTCTCACCCACTCTCCCTAAATATCAATGGAAAAATATCCTCGGGTGAAGATTAACAACAACGAAAGGAAGGGAAGGGAAGGGAGAATGGAAGGGGGAAGGGAAGAGGAGAGAAATGAAGAAAGGAAAAGAAAAAGAAAGAAAAGAAAAAAGAAAGAAAGAACATGAGTCCTGAACAGGCTTTACAAAAGAAGGTATCTAAATGGCCAGTAAGTATATAAGATGCTCAACTTCATTAGTCACTGGGAACTGTAGACAAATGAGATAGCACTAAACACTCACTAGAACAGCTAAAATAAAGAAGACTGGCATACTAAGTGTTGAAAAGAATGAAAGAAACTACACTCACCTATACTGATTGTAAGTGTGTAAATTGGCACAACCCTTTGGAAAATTCTTTAGCAGTAACTACTGTAGTAGACCATACACATGCACTATGATGCAACAATTTTACTCCTAGGTATATACCCAACAGAAATGCATGCATATGCACAAGAGACATATACAAAAATGTTCATAGAGCATTACTCATAATAGCAAGAAATCTGGAAATAATCCAGATGCCAATCAATAGCAGGATGGAAAACTAAACCGTGGTATATTCAGACAACAGAACATTGTACATATAAACATAAATATATATAAAATAAAGCTACATACAAAAATAAAGATGAATCTTACATTGTGTTCAGTGAATGAAATAAGACATAAAAGAAAACATACCAGGTGATATTTTTATTTATTTATTTATATAACGCTTTAAAAGAGGCAGAATTAACTTATGACATTAAAAGTTAGGAGACAGGAGGTAGTGAAGGGGAGGAAGCACAAGGATGCATGGAGTAATAACAATGTTCTATTTCTTAACCTGGTAATGTTCACTTTGTGATACGTCACAGAATTGTACAGCATGAGTTGTGCACTTTGTTGTATAAAGACTTTTGTTTTAAAAAGTCATAAGACTGGAAAATAATAAACACTCAAGATGATTTAGAAATTAATAACCTGACAATTACTTTTTCTTGATCATCTACTATGTGTCAGAAATGCTATATATTCATGTGTTATTACCTAAGCGCCAAAACAACTTTTCAAAGTAAAAACTAGTCTCCTCACTTTACAGATAAAACAACTGAAGCTCAGAAAGTTTAAGTAGCTTACTCAAGGTCATAAAGCTAGTAAACGGTGGAATAAAAACTAGAATCCATGTCGGATTTCAGAACTACAGTCAATTTCAGAATTAATGCCAAACTCACAAAGTATGTCAGTCATATAAGGCCTCCAGACTTCCTCTGTCACCCCATTCTTCATCACCAAGCCTCTTCCTTAGATCCCAGCCAGCTCTTTGCCTTCCCCCAACCTCAGGACTACTACCTTAACCCCCATCACTTACTAACTCTACACTCTGATAACTATAAACTACTTGCAGTTTCCTATACAATCCAGGCTCTCTCTTAGCTTCTTGTCTTTGAATATGCTGCTCTCTCAATTTAGCGTGCTTTCCTCCCTACCTCTCCTTTTCCCAAACACACTTTGGTTATTTAGTCCTTAAATATCTAAAATAAGGTTACTACATTCTTTTAATCATTTCCTGACTTTCCTATCCACTTTTATAGCACCCTGCACATATCTCTAGCATGCCACTTATCATACAACAATGTAACATTTATATAACCGTCCTTTACTGAGATTACCATCTCTTTGAAAGAGCCATTTACCATTCATATTCCAATTTGTATCTGTTGCATCTAGCACAGGGCCAGGCACATAGTAGGCTCTCCATATTAGTTAAACAAATAATTGTAAAATCATAACTAAAACCAAACAAAATGTTGAAAGTACAACTAAAGTGTTAACATCATTTCTACTGCAATGGAATTACAGTCTACATTTGTATGTTTTGTTGGCATAGGCTTTGCAAAGAATACTTAGACAAATACTCACTATTTCATAAAATACACAAGGTAAAGTATTTTTCCCATCTCTCATAAGAAAAGTCTTTGAATAATATGGTCCAGGTGTAACAGCTGAATCGAGAACACCTAAGTAACATTAAAAAAGGGTTGGGAGAAATCATTAATGGCAAATGCAAATAAAATTTAATAAAGAGAAGTTGATATTTAAATAACTATTCCCATACCAACTCTCTCATAGTTTTATTTATACAATAATAAAGAAGACATTTAAAGAGGAAAAGATATTTCTGAAACTGTTTTATACTAAGGGAAAGAAAATTTCTGGCCTTCTCCAACTAAGGAACAGGTCATATGCCAAAGTTCATGCAACTGACAATAGCTGGCCATCTGAATCTTTCTCTTAGAATGTATTCTATAGAATGGTTAAATCCCCAGATCAGTCTATTACATAATAATAATCAAATACACACATATAACTAATAAGCATCGTGGTTTAATGAAAAAAACAAACATTGAATTAAAATCAAAAGGCATGCATTTGAGTCCCAGTTCTTCAGCGTACTAAATTGAGAAAATTGTTTTAAACTCTTTCAAATCTGTCTCATCTATAAAATGCAAATAATTATGTTTATCTCAAGAAAGTATCAAATGAGAGCATTTATTCCTTTAACAGCCACCTATAAAAACTGATAATGAACATTTGTTATTTTGAGGTCAGCCTCCATTTCCCCTATTAATACCTAGATTTTCCTTTAGAAAACCTCTCCTATGCCATTCTTAGCCATATAATTTGAATTGAATTTGTCCCCAACCCCAAATGCAGGAGTGAGCTGAGATGGACTTAAACCAATTAGTGTATCCCATTCCCCAACTTCAGAGTACAGACAGGGTTTAGGTGACGGACTTGGTACCAGTCAGAAAATTATATGCAGGAGGTCATTTGCTAGCCTCTGGAAAAGAGCAACCAAAAGAAATCATTGAAGAATGTGGCACTGTGGTATAAGGATGGGTGGTATAAACAACTTTGATAAGCAACTTAATGCCAAAAGGAAAGAGTCAGAAGCTGCTGAACAGGCCACAGTTGGAGCTCCAAGATAAAGACAATATTGTGCCAGGACAGAAAATGGCTAAATCCAAAAACATAATGCTGGCTGAAAATGCAAGCTGTGTATTTTAAAACAAAAAAATCAATTAAAAGTCCACATAAATTTATGAAATCAGATGTATATAGTAATATTATAAAAGCATGGACAGGAAAGATACCACAGTGATTATCTCTAGAGAAGAAAAATGGACGGGAGTTTCACATCTATAACATGGGAATATGGGTATTCTCTATATTTTTCTGTATGTTTAGAATATTTCATAATTTAAATTAAATATTTATTTTACTTAAACTATTGAAAGAAGTCTGTTCTGAATCTCTTTTACTTGTTTATCTATTCATTCTAGTAAAATCAAATTCCAGAAACACTCTATAAAACTCTTCCCCTTTTAAATATTAATTTAGAAAACATTAATTATAGGGTGTTCATATCAGTAAAGGGTTCTTTACAAATGTTCTTTCAGAGTAGTTAAAATATGATTGGATTTATATACAAAATTACTACTGGATTTAGTCAAGTATAGTAGAAATAACACTAGATTGAGAATAAAGAACTTAGATCCATTTTTGCTGTTGACTAGCTTTGTGATTTCAGTCAAGTCTATTTTATTTGCCCCATTTCCTCACAAACTTCAAGGGTTGAGTTACATTACTTGTAATAATCTTTTCAGTTTTAACATTATGAATCAGAAGAATACTGCATAAATAATCAAATACATCAAGTCACAAATCAATGACAGATCCAGGAACTAAAAAAAATCCTAATTAACTAATATCTCCTTTTGCAAAATATTTTTTCTTTAAGATCTCCTAGGTATTCCTATTGACATTGAACACTATCATCTAATAGTACTACATAAGTATTTTTGAAGTATTATACCTACCCAATATTTCAAAAAGAAGAACAGTTTTGGGGGCATGTTCACGCCAGTACTTCATGCTTTCAATAACTGCTGATACAATTCTTAAAGAATTATCTTTTTCCTTAAGCTTTAACTGATACAGTGAGGCATCCTTTTGAAAACATAAAATGATAGTATTAGAAAAACAGTCATATTTTCCATCATACTCTTTCACTTTCTTTGTAAGGATTCTAGGTGTTTATAATAGGCACATGTGTAAACTATGTAAAAGAACTATTGAAAATTTTAGTACAGTTACTCCCTTAAATTAAAGGCATCATTAGCACTTTATAGGAGGAGAAACTGGGATACACTTGGAGGCAATCAAGAAGAAAATTATTTCTATGGGCATCCATTGGTTCATTCATTTGTTGAATATTTTTTTAAATGTCGTGTACCAAACCTGTGATAAATATAGGTGAAAAGAACACAATTCTTTTCCTTAATGTTCTCATCCTCTAGGAGGGGAATCATTCATTCATTCGCTCATTCAAAATGAGAGATAGATAGTTAGAAACATCGATGGGAGAGAAACATCGACCAGCTGCCTCCCGCAGAGGCAATCAAGAAGAAAATTATTTCTATGGGCATCCATTGCCCTGACCGGAACCGAACCTGGGACCCTTCAGTCCACAGGCCGACGCTCTATCCACTGAGCCAAACCGGCTTTGGCCACAATTCTTTTCCTTAATGTTCTCATCCTCAAGGAGGGGAATCATTCATTCATTCGCTCACTCAAAATGTACATATTGGTACCTACTATGTGCCAAACATAGCTAATGAGGAAACAACAGTGAACAAAACAGACAAGATATACCCTCATAGATTTTGACATCCAGTGGGAAATTCAGAAAATAAACAATAAGTATATAATAGAATGTTAGGAATTTATATATCTTATACATTTGAAAAACAGGATAAAAGGCTAAAGAGAAACAGATAATTATTTTAAATAGCTTGTTGAGTAAGGACTATGGGAATAGAAAGTGTAAAAGGCCCTGAGATGGAATGTGTTTGACATTTTTAAAGATCAACTAAGAGTACAATGTGTTAAGATACTAATTTTTAGGGGTGGTGGTGGCACTTTCGTTTGTGAGGGCAAGGCATATCTAAGAACACGTGATGGGACATTGTTTTCTAACTATAATTACCTTTCCTCCCTCTCCCCCTCTTAACTAAGTTATGAATGTCTCCTATAGAGGAATACTGCCATAATGAGCCACTTTTATTAAGGTCACTATGTTGTATCATTCTTATGTATAAGGAAACCTAAGGTTGAGAACCACTATGAAACATGCTATTTTAGACAGATTTCCAGGAGGGAGAAAGAATTTACCTCAAATGAAAAGACTGCTCACAGACATGTGGGCAGAACAAATCTAAGGCACTTAAGCTCTCAAAAACTAACAATACAAAACTTCTACCACTCGTAGGCTGAAAGGACAAGGGGAGGAAATGAAATTACCAAACCTGTGAAAGCTAGACTCTTGAAGGGACTATATGATGCAGGGACACAGCTACTGCCGGTGACACTACATTTAAGCAGGGAGGGCAGAGAAAAACCCAACCTCTCTCCTCACCCTTTGATATCCTGCCAGTGACTCCCACTGGCTGACCCCTAACAGAAGTCAGCTAAGGGATCCTAAGATGATGCACTATGTAGTACAATTCAGCTTTCCAGAGGACAGAGGGTAAACAATCCATTGGGCCAGGGGACAGGGAGGGAAGACAGCAAACCTGCTATATAGTATAGACATTTGCAAAGAACAATAACAGCAAAGAATGGAAACAGGAAGTAAGGCTGAAGGAAGTACAAATATAGGGAGAACATAAGCAAAGCAGAGTCATATTATCATGTATATCATGTTTAGAGAATTGTGAATATCGGAAAATGGCAAGTGCATTGCAGAATTAGTGGAATATGAAACATGAGGTTAGAGATAAAATAAAACCAGATTATAGAGCAAAGGTCAGCAAACTATAGCTTACAGTCCATGTCTAACCTGCTGTGTTTTTGTAAATTTTTACTGGAACATGCCACACTCATCCATTTATGTATTGTCTATGGCTGCTTTAAGCTACAATGACAGATGCTGAGCAGTTGCAAGAGAGACCATGCGGCCCATAAACAAACAATATTGTATTTACCCTCTGGCCCTTTACAGGAAAAGTTTGCTGACCCTTGTTACTTTGACTGACATATGAAGAGCTTGGAGAACTTCTGCAAGCAATGGATAAACTGTCATCGTCTCAATGATTAGTAAACAGTGAAATTCAGAACCCAGTAGGACACTCTAAAGCAACTATGAAAAGGAACAGCCGTTCACAACCTCTACGGAAATATTTTAGAAACTAACATTCATTCACTCCAATTGACCTGCATGCCATGAGATTGATTTCAACTGTTCTTATCTCTGTAATTTTCTAAATATTTATTTCATTTTTTACATGTAGATACAAAAGTGTAAATAATTCATACTTTAAAATTTACCTTGAGAGCGTTTTCTTCTGGAATATCACATAATGTTTTTTTCTTGAATTGATTTTGTTGGATATTGGGCTTAAATGCCTGTAATGTACTGTTTTTTCCTAGACCTCTCATTGTGGAGCCAGGTGTTTTTGAAGAGTGTGCTTGTCTGAGTACTTCACATTCTCCTTGGTGAGATAAGTTAGGAGGCTGAGATACTCTTAGCTGTTTCTGTTGTTGCACTCCCAAACTCACTGGAGAAGAATTTATTCCATCATTTGCCGCTAGGTTTGTTCTTTTGCATTGAGGCCTAAAATCACTTCTATCCCACGTTTTGAAGCTGGTATTTTTGTTGCCATCTCTGTAGCTGTAATAGTTTTTTTAAAAATTAGTATTAGTTTTGTTTCCATTTACATTTTCTTAATTTAAAAATTAATAATTCTTATTTCTGAACTAGAGGACCAACGAATCTGTGCACCAGTGGGGTGCCTCAGCCTGGCTGATGGGGGAGAGGAGGCCAGCGGCCGGCTGGGGAGGGACGGCGGGAGAGCTCCAGGGCATGTCCAGCCTGTCTCGCACAGTTCAGATGGGCCGGACCCCAGCAGCAAGCTAACCTACGGGTCAGAGCATCTGCCCTCTGGTGGTCAGTGCATGTCATAGTGAGTGGTCGAATGGTCGAACGAACTGTCAGACATTTAGCATAGGCTTTTATTGTATAGGATGATTTTCCTGGAAATGTCACAAGAGGGCAAATAATACAACTCATCTCTTTTAGGAAAATAATTTGTAACCAGATATAAATACAAATTGTATGAGATCTGAAGTTTGTATAATTTGGGGAGCCTTCTTAAGAAAAATAAGTACAAAATTAGGTATCAAAATAATGAGAAAATAAAAAAATAATTTCAAAATTTTAAAAGGTGATAAAAACCACAAACATCACAATATTCAGGAAAAATATTATTAGTATTATGATTAATTACCTGATATACCTCAATAAGACATTTTTCGTACACTGATCACCTCTTCATATAATAGCAATGTTATTTTCAAGAGAAAGAACAAAAATAATTTTGTCTTCTCTCTCTATGGCTGGGGAAATTACTTTTATTACTCATAGTTTAGAAAAGTTTCTTTCAGCTTCACAATTCCTTACTGGTAATAGCACATCTGCAACTTCCTCCAACATCTTTGCTCAGGAGGTACTCCTAGCCTGGACAAGCCCGCTTTAGTAGCCAATGCAGCCTAGCCAGATCCTCAATATCCCAACTAGACCATGAGGCCTAAGTTGTAGTGGCTCCTGAGCAGGGCAGGGAGCAGTGTCCCACTCAGATTCTTCTCTTCAGAGACAAAGATAGGGTCTAAGTGGTCAATAAGATCCCCCAAAACAGGCTGTTGTTGGGGGTAGATGGATGTGAAGGTAAAGCCTAGATTCTGAACCTAAACATAGAACCAGTTAAAAGATCTTCAGCGGGTTATGAACTGCCTAGTTGAGTTTTCAATTGTTTTCTGTTCCTGGATTTTCTGTTGTTTTATTCCAACTGTCTGACAAATTATCTATTATTTCAAACTGGATTATCTAATATTGGGTGACTGCCCAGATTACAATCTATTACCTAATTCTCAGTCTAAAGCCTATCACAATAGACTTTCTCCTATCACCTGCAGCTGGAACTATGCCTCCAAAAACCATCTCAAAACTATTAATAGGCCTAGTTTCAAGCCCTAGTCCTGAAGAAAGTAACTGAATGGTCCTGAGGAAATTAGCATAATAATAAAATCAAAACTCATTTTTAAAAGTGAAAATATTGTTTTGATGTATTTATTAACAACTTTATTAAGTTTCCCCTTTTTAAAAATATATCTTTAATAAGAATCAGGGTAATAGTAACTTCATAAGGTTGTTGTCAGAATTAAAATAGCATATCAAAGCACTAAATAATTACTAATATATGTTTGATGCTCTTTTTCCAATACTTTGTTCCCCAAATTATTTCCAATATTAATACACAGCTATTTCTGACTCTTTGCCTATTTTCAATTAGATCACTAATAATCTATAGAAAAATCAATAAATTCATGGTGATCAATATTGGTGGAAATTTCATTATAACATGAAGAAATCTTTGGAAATATAATCACTGCCTAATTTACCTAAAGTCTTTTTAACTTCTTTTATAAAATGTAACTAATATTGCTATAGTTGTTGGTAAGCATAGAAATTTCCTAAATGTAATTCTAAGAAAGGAGGAAAACATAAAGAGAGGGAGAGAGGGGGAGGAGAAGGAATAGAAAAAGAAAGAAATCTTAAGTAGACTCACCTCCAACCACTCTTGCTCCTTTCAGTGTTTGGTTGAATAGACTTAGACACAGAATCTTGACTTCTCAAGGGATGAGAAACTGAATGTGGTATTTGCCTTTCGAGGAAACATAACTTATTAAATATTAATAGTTTGTTTCCAAATTTAAAAATGTAAAATATACATAGAAGAATAACATCAATCAGTAACAGACACACATTCATTGATGTATGTTTCCACATACCCTGTGTTGATTGTTTTCGTTAAAGGAGGCAACTCTGGATTCATTGCTTCCCAGGCCCAATCTCAAAAGATATAACAGAAAGAAAAGTAAAATAGGTAGCATTTAAAAATAATAATTATTTCATACTTATTTGACGGTTGAAAGCTGGAAGAAAAGAACTTAAAGATATGGACTTGTTCAACAGCACTTTGTTGAGAAATCTCTCACAGTGTGCCTTACTAATTTTTATAGATGTCTTTCTCCCCACTGTGTTTTATGCAAAGGTAATAGGTTTATCTGTATATTCTCTGCAATCAATCTCAGTATAGTACCTTGTACTGTGTAACATGAATTCAATGTAATCAGTGTTTCTTAAACTTTTTCATTCCAACCCACAACAAGAAATACATCATAACTCAGAAAGGAAATACTTATGTGTGGTATGCATGTGTGGGTATTGGGCAGGGGGAGAAAGAACATAAAATTTCACCAATTCTTATTCTTGCTATGTGTGATACAGTCTGGTATTTCCTATTCTACTCTACTCTCTTCTATTTTTTTTTTAAAGATTGATTATTTCCCAACCTATCTTTCAAAATTTTAAAACCACTGATCTAGTCCTCTCTCTTACCCAATATAAGAATCTCATATCTCTAACAGTTATCCTGGTCAGAGCCTGTAGAGTTCAGTATTTTAGGAGGATACAAATTTCTCTTTGGAGCAGCTCAAACTTTGTTAATATATAAGGTCAACATTATGCTACTTATAAAAATATTTTAACTGGTGGAGAATTTTTTATTTTTTATTTTTGTTAATCCTCACAGGAGGATTTTTTTTTATTAATTTTTAGAGAGAATGGAAGGGAGGAGGAGAGACAGAAACATCGATGTGAGAGAGACACATCTATTGGTTGCCTCCCACACACACCCTGATTGGAGCTGGGGATCGAGCCTGCAACCAAGGTACATGCCTTTGACCAGGAATTGAACCTGAGAGCCTTCAGTCTGCAGGCCAACTCTCTACCTGCTGAGCCAAAATTCTTGAAATGGCAGAGTCAGAATTTTTTAAATGGCAGAGAATAACCAGACAAATACCCATTTATGCATATTCATGTGAATATTTTATCGATAAAAATGGGAAAATATGAAATCCGTACTTCACATTCCTCAAATGTGGAAGAATATAAATTTAGAAGTAGATTAAGGTCTATGGTTGAACAGTGGATAAAATTAAAAATACAAGTATTGAGAAAGAGACTGATTGATTGATTTTAAAATTCTAATTGCATAAGAGTCTATTATTTTTTAAGAAAAATGTAAGCGTATATATTTCAGAATGTCTTTCTGTCTGTGCCTTCTTTCTGAAGATAAGTAAAAAGTCAGTAAAGTTTAAGACCTCCCAGGGTCTAGAATTTGAAACAAGAGATACAGAAGGAGATCAATATGGGCTCTGAAAACTAGACTTAAAAGGTTAATTCTTAGCAAAGGCAATTTAGTTAATGTACTTGTTGAAACTATAGGAAGCCAACAAAATAAAGATTAAAATGCTATAAGAGAAAAAAAGACTGAGGCTAAACACTAGAAATTCCTGGGCTTCTACCCTTCCTAAGGTCTTCTACCCTTCCTGTGTTCCCATGCACACTTTATTCTTGAGGCAACTTGAGTTTCTTCATTCTTTAGCACCAAATGTCTAAAGCAGCAGTCGACAAAGTGTTGCACCTCACGGACCACAGTTGACGACTGCTGGTCTAAACCACAATATCCATATGTATCATGAAAAAGAAAATTATTTACAATATAGGTTACCACTTCATTAAAAGAAAGGCTCCAGATCTAAGATACTCCATTTAAAATTCTAAGCCACCCTAATAGACAAGGAAACTCAAACTACTGTACTGGAATGCTCAGAAAAAGTAATCCCTATATTTGGATAATGGAAAGAAGAAAAACATAAAATAGAAATGGTAATTTTCTATAATCCTAGTTCTTACTTTCTAAAAGTTTGCAACTTATTTTCTTACCTGTTGGTAGAGGAGGGAAATCATAACTGTCAGAAGTAGTAGTGATACCGGGATCATTTTTAAGTGGATTGGAAGTTAATGGCTGTCTAGTCCTCTTTTTCTGATTGAACAAAGGTACAGGCAAGCAGCCTAAATCAAATGTTCCAATAAATTAGTATATAATAGGAAAACAGATCTAGTTATACAATAATTTGTCTACTGCTATATGTTAATTATATATTTATTATAAACATATTTTATAGCTTTGATTGATTCTTACATTCTTTTTAAGATCCTAAATAGCCTCATTTGTTTCTCTAAAATTTCCTTTTTTAACATTTTATTTTCAATTGCACCTTACATTCAACTCTACTATTTTCAGGTGTCAGTGTGCAGCATAGTGGTTAGACAATCATATATTTTATCCAGTAATCCTCCTGCTATTTCAAGTACCCACCTGGCATCATACATAGTAATTAAAATATTATTGACTATATTCTCTATACTGTACTTTCCATCCCTGTGACTGTTTTGTAACTACCAATTGGTACTTTTTAATCCCTTCACCTTTTTACCTGGTTCCCCCAAACTCCCTTTCCTCTGGCAACCATCAGTCTGTTCTCTGAATCTAGGAGTCTGTTTCTATTTTGTAAAAACTCCTTTCTTGTTCTAGGTCAGTGGCCGGCAAACTGCGGCTCGCGAGCCGCATGTGGCTCTTTGGCCCCTTGAGTATGGATCTTCCACGAAATACCACGTGCGGGCGTGCATGTACAGTGAGATTGGAACTTCGTGGCCCATGCGCAGAAGTCGATATTTTGTAGAAGAGCCACACTCAAGGGGACAAAGAGCCGCATGTGGCTCATGAGCCGCAGTTTGCCGACCACTGTTCTAGGTTAACTCTGCCTTATTTCCTCTTCTTTGGAAATAATTCCCATCTCCTCCCGCCCCCCCTCCCCACCCCAACCCTTTCCCAATCTACTTTTTTTTTTACTTATTTCCCACCTATGCTTGCCTATTACCATATCAACTAGAAGGGACCCTTCAAGTACAAAAGGGGTAAAGGAGAACCAGACATTGACCCATGTTTTCAAAAACCCAAACCACTCTTTGGACTATGGCCGCATACCGTTTAGTGCCATGGTTCTCCAACTTTAGTTTGACTAAGATTTCACTGGAATTATGCTTAACATGCCAGTTCCTAGACCAGCCGTGGGCAAACTACGGCCCGCGGGCCGGATCCGGCCCGTTTGAAATGAATAAAACTAAAAAAGAAAAGACATACCCTTTTATGTAATGATGTTTACTTTGAATTTATATTAGTTCACACAAACACTCCATCCATGCTTTTGTTCCGGCCCTCCGGTCCAGTTTAAGAACCCATTGTGGCCCTCGAGTCAAAAAGTTTGCCCACCCCTGTCCTAGACCCTACTCTCATAGGTTTTATTTCAATAGAAACTGAAATTTTAACAAGCACTCCAGGTATCTGGAATGCATATTTTCTGTGGATCATGTTGACAATGCATTAGAGTGATAATATCCAATCCAAATGAGAACAAACACTACCCCCACACCCTCCAGATAAAAGACCTGGGATCTCAAGTCAAGCCAAAAGTCAGAATTTATAAACAGTAAAACTAGAAAGGATCTCAGAGGAAAATAGGTCCTAAAAGCTTGCACATTGCCACAGGGGAGAACCTAGATAGAACCCAAGCTTCCTCAGTCTCAATTTACACATCTTCCCTCTGTACCATACTCTAGCTCAGTGGTTCTCATCCTTCCTAATGCCGCGACCCTTTAATACAGTTCCTCATGTTGTGGTGACCCCCAACCATAAAATTATTTTCGTTGTTACTTCATAACTGTAATTTTGCTACTGTTATGAATCGTAATGTAAATATCTGATATGCAGGATGTATTTTCATTGTTACAAATTGAACATAATTAAAGCATAGTGATTAATCACAAAAACAATATGTAATTATGTATGTTTCTTAGGCCACCCCTGTGAAAGGGTCGTTCGACCCGCAAAGGGTCGTGACCCACAGGTTGAGAACCGCTGCTCTAGCTGGTCCATCAAAACTTGTACTACAGGAGAGTTTATTAAGAAATAAACAGTTAAACTCTGTGATAACTGATGAAATGATATGGGCTCTGGCATCAAACTTCCTGAGTTTGAATTACGACTTCAAAGTAGGGTGGAATTACATACAACTTCAAAGTATAAACTTGGGCAATTTTCTTAAACTCATTGTGCCAACAGGACATACTAAGAGGCAGGATATGAGTATGATTAAGAGTATGAACTCTAGAGCCTGATTTCAAGGTTCAAATCCTGGTTCTGCCACTTCCTAAGTCACTTTTTAACAACCTCTTTGTGCCTTAGTTTCTCACCTAGAAAACAAGGATGATAATGCCCATCTCAAAGGATTGGTGTAAGAATTAAATATTTTACTACATGTAACTAAATGTCTAGCAATACAGTAAATTCACAATAAATAATAGCTATTATTATCTTCATTGTCCATTATCATCATTTCCCTGGTTCTCTTCATTCTTGTCCTCTAATAAATCGGGAAGCAGAAATAATAAGGAAAGCTTTTAGGGAGACACCAGTGCTTCTGGAAATACTTTAAATAAGTCATAAATACAAATAAAAACAGAACTCAAACACATAGGGTTTGTAGGAAGACCACTAATAAACCCACGGAGGTATGATTTTACTACCACTTCTGCCACTAAATGTTTTACCTTAAATTATTTTATTTCCTTGGACCTAAATAGTAAAGAAGCTAGACTACATGTTCATTTTTTCAAAAATTCCTCCAAAATGCTCCATCTATAAATTACACAAGCTTTACATAGTATATACAAAATATAGAAAATTTTAAAATAAAAGTTATTCATACCTGCTGTACTTCGGGTTGAATTTTCATTTTGGTTTCTCTTCATTTCCGTCAATATCCAAGTCTATACCTTTGTCTTTAGCACATGAAGTTATTGGACTAAATCTTCAAAGAAAGAGACTTATAACTCATACTGTGTCAACAACAAAATCAAATCCTTAGCCTAGTAATTACTGAAATCAAGGTTTAAAAACTATGGTTTCAAACCTGATCCTGTTAACGCTTTGTGGAGTCTTTCATCTCTAACTGAGAATGAACAACGTGAACCGTTTTCTCGGCTCTCTTACAAATCGGCTAGGACCAGGGTGACTATAACCTTGCCTCCCTGTGTGGCCATTTCACACAGGCCCTGTAAGTAACTTTAGAACTCATGACCCACAGAGAGGATAATTCCGAACCAGGTCTGACAGAGCAGAACGGGCGACGACACTGGCCAGCTCTGTGCCTGGAAGGCCGGGAGGCAGCACCGGCCACGGCCCTGGCCTGGGGAAGGGACAGGTCTCTGCACAGCACACCATGGCGGTCCCATCCCTGTCCTGAGCCTGAGACCTCTGGGCTATGTAACCACAAAGACTGCGTCAAACCTCAGAGGGAAGGTAGGTGAGGGCGGGGTGAGGGGGAGATCAACCAAAGGACTTGTATGCCAGCATATAGGCCTCACCAGTGGACACGGACACCAGGGGGGAGGGCATGAGTGGGGGGGGGGGGTAATGTGGGGATAAGGACTCATATGTAATAACTTCATCAATGAAAAAAATAAATAAAAATTTTTTTTAAAAAGACTGCGGCCTCACTTAATACCCAGAACAACCGAAACGATGTTTCCACTCAGCGTTTCCAGAATTTCAACAAGACAAACACATTTCTCTGCTTGCTTGCTTTTACAACAGAATTTCCGCTATAATTTTTTCCCATATGTAGCCTCCTAATATAGTTCAACCCCAACCGAATTCAACAAACGCTTCCCGATCATGTGAAAAGGCAAGATGCCAACTTTCATGACCCAGTGAGGCAGACAGACAGGAACGCAACTAAGTCATGGCGAATCGGACTGAGGTAAATGTTAATTTCCAAACACAGACATGAAACCTGGGGACCGTAAGGGCGGGGACTGCCTCCGCTTTGTTTCCTAACTTGGGCGTGAAGCCGGATCCCGCAGGCCCTTAGAACATATTCCTGATGCCATTCTAGGAACCCAATCGGCGGTTATGAGGCTTTTCCTCAGCCCAGAAATACCAACGCCACGCGCACCCGAACCCGGAGGGTGATGGGACAAGGGCTATGACGGTTCCGAGTTTCACGCAAACAGAATAAACGTGCAACATCCGCCCCCAGGACCACGGACCCTGGGCCAGGGCTCTGAGTTGCCCTCACCCCAGCGTCCAACTGGCATTAATGTGGCCGGCGACGAGGACAAGCAAAAGGTTTGCTCAATCTACAACCTGAGCGCGCACCCACACACACACCGCACCCCCAAACCCACTGCCTCAGGGGGAGGCCAGGAGGCCGATTTTGACCCCTCGTGGGAGAGGGATTCCAGTCAGGGCTCATGCTCTCTTCCAACCTCCCCTCCTCACGCAGGAAATGGGGTAGTTTGGTAACTAGCGACAATATGGTCTTTCCCTTCTTGGCTCTCCAACCAGCACCATACGCAACTTTTACCTGCAGGTTTCGCCGCCTCCGTCAACGGTCAACTGTCGCCTCAGTCAACGGCCGCCGCGGAGACTGCGCAGTCTACGACCTCAGACCTCCTAAAAAGCGCGGGAAGTCGAGCCCTGCGCAGGCGCAGGCATGCGGAAACCTGCGCGCAGGCGCACCTCAGACCCCCGCTGCCAGGCGTGCCTCAAGTCTGCGCAGGCGCACCTCAGACCACGCTGCCCTCCCATCTGCCCTCCCCCTAACCCCCCACCCCCGCGCAGGCGCAGAGGCCACCACCTTGGGTGTGAGCGCACAATGGCGCGGGGCCTTCTGCTGAAGAGGACAAATACCCCCTCTCCCAGGAACCATGACGTTGACACACCTCCCCTTGTGTCCTCACACTGTCATGTACGAGGTGCAGGGATGGCGCTACCTCTTTACAGTTCTGCCCAGAGAAGAAAGACTGTGTTCTAGTCACGGGTGAGATGATGGCAGATCTGCCCAGCCGGTTTCTGCCCCAGATTTGTCTGGTCGCCCTGCCCCCTGCCCATCCCCGGGGTCATTTATTAGGTTCTGGACGTCAGTCCGTACGATGCTGGTGGCAACCGCGTGTGCCTCGAAGAGAATGAGTTCAAGGCCGCCGGCCTTAGGAAGCAGGTCCAGGGTGTCGCTTGGTCGGGCTGCGTTTCCCAGGCACAGCCATCAGGGCACCGGCCGCAGGAGGCCGCCGGACTGGTGCGAGAGCTGAGGCCTGGGTCCAGGAGACAGCCCTGCAGGTGGGCAGCGGCCGCCAGGGCAGGGCCAGGGCTGCAGGAGCTCGGAGAGGGGAGCACGCGCCTCGCAGGCCCGGCCGGAAGGAGCGGAATGGAGCCGTGACCCTAACGCTGACCTCCCACTCCAGGCGGCTGCTTCCGGACCTGTGACCTCGGGCAAGTTACTTACCCCCTTTAGACCTGCATTTCCCCGCTTAGTGAACCGCAAAACAATATTTACTTAATTGCCCTCAAAATAATAAACAAGAAAATGCTCTCTAAATGTTAGCCCTTATGTATAGCAAGCTGCCAGTTACTGAGTGCTCACCGTAGGCCCGGGCTAGTGACTCTCCTTCAGTCTGGGTTCCAAGACCATGTTTTGGGGTTACCATGCGTTCCAGCCATTCGAGGTCTGGGATGGGCGAAGGAGGGGGTGTAGAGAGCACAGAGGTGGAGGGAAGGGTGTTAGTAAAAGCCTAGGACTAGGGCACCATGAGACGAAGAGTGGTTTCTTTGAAGATTAGGTCCAACAGAGGAGGAGGTGGGGAGATAGGATTCGAGGTGGACTGAGACCGGCTAATACAGAACCTTGAATGCTAAACTGCAGAAACAGTCTGAAGTAACAGTCTTCATTTAATCCCGAAAAAAAATTTTTAAACAAAGTGTCTGAAAAGACTTGTTACTCGTCATGGTTCCAGAGAGGACACTTAAAAAAAAAAATGAGTAGACGCTTCAAGGAAGCCAATTTTAACCTGATACATACATATTTACATAATATACACATATACACATAACGCCCACCTATCCCCAGCAAAATAGAGATCTCATTAAAAAGAAAACTATAGCCTGGCCAGTGTGGCACAGTCAGTTGAGCATCACCCCATGCACCAAGAGGTCGCCAGTTCGATTCTCGGCCAGGGCCCATGCCCGGGATTCAGGCAAACCCCCAGTGGGGGGTATGCGGGAGGCAGCCAATGGATGTGTTTCTCCCTCTCACTTCCTCTCTCTCTAAAATCATTTTTTTTTTTAAAAATTTAAAATGGAAAACTGTAAACCCACTATGAACAACATCCTGTACTATATCTGTGAGGAATTACATGCATGAGCAATGTGGAATCTTTGATAGCAGCTGACAAACTTATCTACCTGATCCTTATCTTGTTCTGGTTTATCATTTATTTCCACCTAGAAAGTTCAGGATAGTGACAGCAATATGGCCCTAGGGGTGAAGAAAATTAAAGTAGAATAGTTTGGTTACATGACTGCTGGACTACCACATTATATATGAGACACCTTACATATAGTATTGGAGGAAAGATCCTCTTTATCTCTCAATCATACCATTTTAAAAACAATCCCACCTGAAATTTGACTCCCACAAAATTTCTGGCATTGATCTATTGGACAGCCATGACTATAAACAGTTTACTCTCCCTTTGCTTTAAACTACATTATTTTACCAATAAATCAGACACCACCACCACCCCCACACAAATAACATTTATAGTGCTGGAAGTTATTAGGCTTATTCTTTTAAGTACTTCAAACATTAAATATTCAACCCAATAGTGAGATTGTGACAACTAGGAAGGGTTCCACTTTGTATGCTATTAGTTCTCTGAACTTTCAAAGAACTAGACTAATTTTTTATTTTAATGTTCAACGGAGGATATTTTTTCACTGATTTTTAGAGAAAGTGAAAGAGAAAGGGAAATACAGAGAGACAGAAACATCGATATGAGAGAGAGACATCGACTGGTTGCCTTCTGCACGTGACCCCACCAGTGCCGGGAATTAAGCCTGCAGCCGAGTACATGCCCTTGACCAGAATCGAACCCGGGACCCTTCAGACTGCAGGCTGACACACTATGCACTGAGCCAAACCGGCTAGGGCTAGACTAATTTCTTCAAGTGGTTTTTGGGGGGCTCTAAAATTTAGTGTGCTTTGGGAAACAGGGAGTTAAAATCTTTCGGAAGTTAACTGGGTATAAGAGTATGAAAAGCCGCTTGCTCTGGCTCTAAGGAAATGCTCTCCTTTTCTCTAATAAAGCTTTCCACAGAAGACAGACTCTAACAATAAACAAGGTAAGGATGGGACAGATTGACAGGAATTTATTAACTATCAAAAAAAGTTACTCATTTTGTATGTAAGGGAAACTTTACTTATGAATGTTAAATGGGCTTCAAAGTGCTGAGCTGTTAAAATTCCATGAAACAAGTCTCCAAATACGAGTCATCTGTGCCAGCCATGAGTAAGTAACTGCAGCAGCTCTTCCAGAAAGACTAGGGCAAAGGACACAACTAACCCCAAATCGTCAGAAGCGCAAACAAAATATAAGCAAGTGTTAATAATTCACCATAGTTACTGCTCTTAAAACCAAAGTAGCTACACAATACGACTACCATCTGTTTGTACTTATGCTCGTTTTCAGCCTCTCCACACTGAAGTGTTCAAATGTACAGTGATGTGGGTAGAAAATCAAAAAATACAGGGGCTTTCAGTTAGGGTAGGACAGTCATTTTAATATGTAAATTTAGGTTTCACTGTTTTGCTTTCACTATCTCTACGTTATAATCTTTTAAAGAAAGCGCACAGGAATTGGTTGAATAAATGTTTTGAAGTTTTCATATTTTATATTTCTATCATGTATTTTGTTTGTATGCTTGTTTGTTTCTGAGGCACACTGGAGTGACTGTTTACGTGAATTCCAAAGGAGCAAAATTAGAACTTTGGGGAAGGCCAAATTAACAGGAAGCACCCTGTTGTTCTGGGAAAACACTGAACTTGAACTTAAAATCAGAAAACCTGGGTCCCAGGCCTGGTTTTCTCCTGGCAGCTGAGGAACCTTAATCAAGTTGCTTAACTTATCTTCCCTTTACCCCTGTAATGGGGTGTCAGTACCTACCACACGCTATTTAAAAAGTGGATACGTGAATAAACTGACATAACATATTCAGAAAAACATGACAGATTAAACTGCTCTGCAGTGATGGATTCCTCTTCTTGCACCCCTAGCAAACAGCCTGGCATCACTAGTACACACAGTGTTTCCAGTACTTGATCACGTTTGACTTTCTGGATGGTTGAGCAGGAAATCAAATCAGATTTGGTTCAGAACCATATCTCCAAAGGAATGTAGCCATCTTCGTGTTCTGGCAGGTCTGCCCTAATAAGACCCCCTCTTGAGTGACACAGTCCAGTGGAGAGCCTCTGCTGCCAGTAAACTGGGCTGACTGTGTCTACATAAACTCATACAATCTGGTTCGTGCATGTAGCATGCCCCAAGACATTTTCAGGCATGACAAAGACTTGAAAATTACTAACAGTTACTTTTTCTTGAGCATTGAGCCAAAAAAAAAAGTGAGCATTGAGCCAAAAAAGAAAGAAAGATTCCTAAAGAAATTGACACAGAATTACCAAAAACTTTATGAGAAATAAATTAAAGGCATGTTTCAAAGTAGCTTTTTAAGTCCCGGTGGTCATTGATTTGGTTCTTGTGTGTCTGACAATAAAAAAGAATTCTGAAAGAAAGGATGCAGTTCCAGAGGAGGTCTCTGAGGACCGGCCTTTGAAACTGTTTATAGAGCTAAGATTCAAATGCTCTCAGATGAGGTGTACCTGTACTCATTTCAGAGAAGAAATCTTTTTAAATACAAGTAGAAATTATAAATATTGAATAATATGCATATTATATTTTTATATTTAGAAAAGTATAAACTTTTTATAACTACAAATGGTCATGACTTCACCATTAGATGGCATTCTAGCTGAAGAGAAAACACAATTTTTGTCATATTATGAGATACTAATTTATCACTGCATTTAGATCTACCAACCATTTGAGGGAGTTAGAAGTTAAAGTAAATAGCTGTAACTTTAGTTAATCTCTGCATACTTTGATCCAAATATGGTAAAGGGCAGGGCTAAAGAAGGGAGTGCCCTATAATAAACAGGGCTCAGACTTGCAACAGAAAATTAAAATACATTCCACTCAAGAGAACTCTGCACTTTGCACTTTGGTAAAAGTCTCATTTAGGTTTAGATTTCTAAACTTTTCTTAAGGAAGTAAGTGTTCTTTGCTCTTCTTTCTTCTGAATTGCAGAAATCAGATAAAAATTACTTGATAAAATGACTTATCATGTTGTTGAAGATCCCATTAAAAAGGTTGCTATCTTTGGAGGAACTCACGGGAATGAGCTAACAGGAGTATTTCTGGTTAAGCACTGGCTAGAGAATGGCGCTGAGATTCAGAGAACAGGACTGGAGGTAAAACCATTTATCACCAACCCAAGAGCAGTGAAGAAGTGTACCAGATATATTGACTGTGACCTGAATCGAGTTTTTGACCATGGAAATCTTGGGTAAGACAATATATTGTGAATGCATGTGTGTATGTGAAAAGTGGTATATGTGGGAGAAAACACGTGTGTGCTATTCATGTCTATACATATAGTGGCTATTGCGAATAAGATCACTTTCACTTTAATCACACTCCATTATGAATTATTCATTTCTCTAAACTGGGCATTCACATGCTCTTTCATAAACCTTTTTAAGCATCAGACTATCCTTTACTAATTTTTTAAATGTATCTGTACAGACTGAGATAAATAGCAAATGTTTTTTTTAAATCTATCTTTAAAAGAACAGAATTAATAGTCTTTTACATTAAATTAATGTTTGGTCACTGTACTTGGGTACATATGTATTTGTTAGCTTTCTAAGTGATTCACTACTATGTTTTCATGCAACTATATTTATAATAGTACATAAAGTTCTAGTTAAGAAAAATGTTATGTTTTGATTAATATTTGTTTAATGAAAGTATTCAACCATAACACTCCAGGTATGTTTTAATTAGTTATTTTTGCCTCTGTTTACATTATTATAGCTACTATTGTAGATATGTAGGTTCCTAAGTGTTTTCTTTTTAACACTTCTTTCATTTACCTAAAAATATTATTAAACACCTACTTTTCATGGGGCACTGTGCCAGGTACTGTGGAAGTACAAAGCTATGTGCAAACATGGTTTCTACCCTTAAGGAGTTCATAGACAAGTAGCTAAGATATAAGATGGGGCCAGGAACAACTAACACAGGACTGCTTTATGTACTCATTTTCTAATAAATGCTCATTTGAGTTTAGATGGTTACTTAAGTATAATCTCACCTCAGATCAAAAGTTGGTTACTAACTTTAGTACAAATATGCCACACTTTATGGAATTGATTTTTTTCCAGGGCAATTAGACATCAGTCATACTTTGTATATCCAATCCTATTTTTACTAGCATAAATTTTAATTTCAAAAATGCTTTATCTTCATAACTGAGGTTAAATCAATATAATTAAAGTTTATCTATTCACTTAAAATAGTTAACTGACTAGTATTATAAGGATTTGTTGAAGTATAACTCCTGTAGATGACATGTTAACTTCTCAATAACTCTTAAATGTACTAGGATGAGTTTTCTTTTTATGACCGCTCAGTAGTATGCATTGCAGTGAGAGCAGTCTTTTAAATTAAATTTGCCTTCTACTTCTTACATTTTAACACTATTCAGAGGCTAGACAGTTCTCTCTCAGGGTGGTTATGGGCATTTATGAGATACATAAATTGATTTCCTTCTCCTGTCCTTCCTTTCCAAAATTAGTTACTTTTCCTGTGTTCTCCATCTCAGTGATTTCACCATTACCCACCAAATCCTCTATGAAAATTCATCTAAGGCCCTAGCTGGTTTGGCTTAGTAGATAGAGCATCAGCCTGTGGACTAAAGGGTCCCAGGTTCAGTTCTGGTCAAGGGCACATGCCTAGGTTTCGGGCTTGATCCCCAGTAGGGGACCTGCAGGAGGCAGCCAATCAATGATTCTCTCTCATCATTGATGTTTCTATCTCTCTTTCCCTCTCCCTTCCTCTCTGAAATCAATAAAGATATACTTTTAAAAAGAAGAAATGAAGAAAATCATCTTAGAACCTTCCTCATTCCTCACCCCTCCATGTCTAGTGGGTCACTAAGTCTTCCCAATTATATTATCTTCCTCTGCATTTTCACCACCTTAGTTTATGTGTTCTGTGGGCAGTTGGAGGAGCCTCCTGAAGAATCTTTCTGCATCTGGTCTACTCCAATCCTTCCTGCCATGGAATCATCCTAACATACAAATCGTATGTATCTCTCCTACAGAAAATTCTTCACAAATCTCTTACCCAGGATAGATTTCAGTAACAGTTTGGCTAATGCACCCTTTAGGACCTTCCCCTGCCTATTCTTTCAGCTTCCTCCTCTGGGACTCTTCCTGAGGACCTGACCTCCAGGCTCGAAGCATAAAACTTCAAGCCTTGACTCTGAGCAACTGGTTGGGAGGATTAGAAGCAAATCAGGTGAGGGTGGAAGGATCTAATGGAGATGTTCCGTGAGCTAACGTTTTTTAATCCTCACCTAAGGGTATTTTTTCCATTGATTTCTAGAGAGAGTGGAAGGGCGGGGGAGAGAGAGAGGAGAGAGAGAAACCTCAAAGTGACAGAAACACATCAACTGGTTGCCTCCTACAGGCCCCCTGACCAGGGGCAGGGATCAGACCTTAACCCAGGTACGTGCCCTTGACCATAATCAAACCCACGACCCCCTGGTATGCAGGCCATTGTTCAACCACTGAGCCATGCCAACCAGGGCATGAATTAACTTTTTGTTATTTTTTCCCTTTTATTGAATTTATTGGGGTGACACTGGTTAACAAATTATGCAGATTTTAGGTGCACAATTCCACAACACATCATCTGTACAACTGTATATATTCATTAGGAACTATGGTTATATACAATAGAAACATAAAGACAGTGGCTTAGACAAGTAAGATTTTCTTTTTCACAAATAATAAATCCAGAGATGCAGTGGCTCAATTATATCATAAATGCCACAGGTTCTTCCCATCTTCCCACTGCACCATCCTTAGCATGCACTTTTGTCCTCATAGTTTTTGCTTTCTAACCAAACACAGCTGCTCCACCTTCTTGATTATATTCCAGACAGGAATTACCCAGATGCAAAGTCCCTTGAAGATAGTAGCAAAAATAGTCAGGAAATAGAAATACGTAGATGGAAGTATACAGGAATGGTTGGTTTAATTCGGGAAAATAAATTTAAATCATCATCATGTATAGTAAGAAAAAAAATGTATCCTAACCATTGCTGAAAGGGGAAGAGGACAGGTAGAGACTCAATTCAGAATTCAATAAAAACTATTAAGCTTTATCCCAGAAAAAAAATGCATATACCTGCAAAAGTTTTGCATTTTCTCAGGGTTTACAAACTCGTCTGTCAAGCTTATCCCTAGATCACTAGTGGTTCCCAGACCTCAATTAAGAATGTGAACATTATCTAAGTTTAACTATTTTTATGCACTGGAATTAGCTATAGGACAAAAACAATTCCATTTGCTTGTCTATCTCAGGGATGGGGAACATCCGGCCTGTGGGCTGTATAAGGCCTGAGAAATCATTTGGTCTGGCCTTGCCAAGGCATTAGGGGTGAAGTAACTAAATGTTAACCAAATATAGCAGGCTAATTTTTAAGTTGATAATTTTGTATCGTCTGCAAATGATGTTATAAATATCCAAATGGCCTTTGGCAGAAAAAAGTTCCCCACCCCTAGACTAGGCCCAGAATATCTCAGTGCACATAACTACTAAGAAATAGTTGATTAAATCAATGAATATATTTTGTTTGAAGTTGAAGTCAAGTGGTAAATTCTGTTTGAAATGTCCTTCCTTTGACAGCCACATAATGAAATATTATTTGCAATCATGCCGATGCAACAGTACATAGAATCAAATGAAGAAAAATTGTAATTTTTCATTTGTAAAGTTTTCAAATAAGTTTCCACTTCCCTCACAGGTTTTTCATATTAAAGTTTGTCAACTGGTTCCTTATACACTGTGTTCTTATTGTATATTTGTGTTATATTAGCCACAGATATTTTTAATCTTTCTCTTTTTGCTAATAACAGCAAAAAACTGTCAGAGGATTTGCCATATGAAGTGAGAAGGGCTCAAGAAATAAATCATTTATTTGGTCCAAAAGACAGTGAAGATTCCTATGACATCATTTTTGACCTTCACAATACTACTTCTAACATGGGATGCACTCTTATTCTTGAAGATTCCAGGAATGACTTTTTAATTCAGATGTTTCATTACATTAAGGTGATGTCAATGTTACTAATTTATAAGTTAGCATAAGACCTGTACTTTTAAGTTAATTATGGTTATAAAACAACCAGAAAAGTGTTAGGAGGGTGGGTCTAAGACAGATGGGGAAGTGGGAGGAGCACCAGAATGGAGGTTGTGGTGACAAGCAGGAGAAAAGGGAGAGGAAATGAGTCACATGATAAATACAGTGAATAAAATCATAAAACATTTATAGATTCTTATGTCTATAAAATTATAAATCTTTTATCTAGACAGCTGTGAAATCATAGGCTATTTGGTAAAATTGATACCAAACTTTAAAATGGTGTGGTGGAAGTAGTTCAATTACAGTTTTAGGAAGCTCCAAAAATAGTCATTTAATGTTGACTATAGACCAACGATAAAAATATTGTCTCTCTTTAGTCTGTCCTTCTCTCCATTTGATTCAGATACCCCAGCACACATCTGATCTTCCAATATTTCATATAGCTAATCATTTTAAGGCTCAGAAATCTACAAGATGAAAAATTTAGCAATACAGTGCATGTAGCTAGAGAAAAATGCTAGGAAATAACAACCAAGCAAAAACACAAATAATCATCTGTATGCTTATTATTGTGTAATAAATACCCTTCCTTCTTTCCAGAGAGCTGGTATGATTTAATGGAAAGAGTTTGTCCGATGTACCCAGGAGAACCTGGGTTCAAATCCTGGCTTTCTCATTCACTAACCTTGGACAAGATACATTGCTTTCCTCATTTGATAAAGTTGACATAGTAACATTTACTTATATGGCTGTTTAAAACCTTAAACGAGATAAAGTATTTAAAGCATTTAGCCTAATATCTGGAAGACAGGAAAGATTAACTATTATTTTTGTTTCCTTTGAGTTTTTGACAATAACTACATAGTTCTAGTAGGAGATCATAATGTAGCTATTCTTCATTGCTCATTGAAGGAAAGCTGAATGCTTTGATTGCCAGGCATGGAAGCAGCATAGCTGACATTGTTATCAAAACTGAGAGACCTGTCTTGAATTCTCAAAGACCTGGACTACAGGGTTAGAAACAACATTCTTTAAGAGCAATACTAAGCTAAACAGTAAGTGTAACCACTGATTTAAAAAAAGAAATAACCAAATCCATTCCGAAGGAAAATTTATTTCATATTCCTTAATCAAGGTTCTTGAGAATTTAATGTACATTTTACCCAGGAAGCTATGCATCATTCAATTTATATGTAGTTTATGTTTTCAAAGGTTTAAGAACAATATTGGATTTTAGAGTGTGTTTTATAAAGCTGTCTTACTAATTTTAGTTGATATAGTAAAACATATTGAAGGCATTATTGACTCTCTAGCAGCAAAGAAAACAAAACATATGGTCTTGACATAATAAGAAAGATGTTTTCAATTCATTTCAGACTTCTTTGGCTCCGTTACCCTGCTATATTTATCTTATTGAGCATCCTTCCCTTAAATATGCAACCACTCGTTCTATAGCCAAGTATCCTGTTGGTAAGTCATATTTCACATTGTCACAACTAAACAAAATATGTCCTACATGAAACTCTGAGAAAATTATTTTAAAAAAATATTTATAGCTACCTTAACTCTTCACTGTGACTTATAATGATCAAGTACTAAGCAAACTCACTCTGAGCAGGTTCAAACTATATAAAATGTCCTAAATTTCACTGAGCAACTTTCTGCATTTCATGTGGGAAACAATAAGCTGGGAGAACTTGAGTCTTTTATAATGTACAATAAACACGCCTGCCTTTTGCTCCAGGGAAGATATCATCCCTATTTTTCAATACTGTTCACTATACAAACGTTCTTGAAAAATAATTTGGAACCAAGGCAGTCAGCGATTTGCTGGTAAGATGTGCAGAAACACAAAAGATCCATGGAAAATCTTCTCCCAATATCCCACTTAGCCCCTTCTTTGCAGTAGAGTGTCCCATAGCTATTATCCATTCACGTGTTCGCCCTATCAGTTACTGGGCTGTGAACTCATCTTTACTTTTCAGAATCTCCAGCATGCAAGCAAGCACTCTCATAACCCTCTCACACAGAGAGTCTCTTTTTCTATATTCCATTCTCTTTCCTAAATGCCCTATTAGCATAACTGTTGGCAGACTACACTATAATCATTAAAATGGCTGTCACAATTTTACCAAGAGCAATTTAATTTCAAAACAAGTTGTCACCCTAGCTGGTTTGGCTCAGTGGATAGATCACTGCCCTGTGGACTAAAGAGTCCCGGGTCTGATTCCAGTTAAGGGCATATGCCTGGGTTGCTGGCTCAATCCCTAATGGGAGATGTTCAGATGTAGCCAATCAATGATTCTTTCTCATCATAGATGTTTCTATCTCTCTTTTCCTCTCCCTTTCTTTCTGAAATCAATAAAAATCTATATATATAAAAGGCTAATATGCAAAGTGTCCCTGCAGGAGTTCGACTGGGAGACTGGGAGTTCTATCACTTGCTATGACATGTGCTGACCACAAGGGTGTGGTGTGGAATGAAGGAAGGCTCCGGCCGGCAGCCAGAAGGCCCCGATCAGCCCTGATTGCCTGCCAGGCCTAGGGACCCTAGCCATGCAAAAACCTCTAGTATATAATAAAAAAAGTTGTCACACAATGTAAGCAAATTTAAAATCATTTTGCTTACTTAATCAGTGATACTTTTGGTGCATGATCAAGGGATCAGTTGGAGCAAGCTAAATATCCAAGTCTAGGTAATTATTTGAAACAAATTAATGCTTAACAATAAGGGATAGAAAACCTGTTTCTCTGTGACACCAAATAAAGCATATGATTCCCAAACATTGAAAGAGCAGTCTTGGTGTATGATGTCTGTGGGGCAATGCTGCTCTTAGCTAGACTACATATCTACTGATACGTTTAGCAGCTTTTTATATTGCAGTATATATTTGCCCATCCCTTTGACTATATTATGATTTTTTTTTAATTTTGGCAATGTTGAATGAAATTTAAAGAGAAAAAAAACCCCAAGATCTTGCAACTATAACATAACTGATTTTTCATGTTCTCTCCTAGTCTTCATTCACTTTGCATAGAACTTGTACATGTAAATGTTCGGCTTTAGTTTTTGCCCAACATTATGTCTCAAATAATTTTTCATTATGCTACATGGCCTAACTTTGTACCAATTTTTCATGATTGGAATTCTGTATCTTGATATATTGAAATGCTTAATTTTATACTCTAATACATAAATGTGACTATCTCCCGTTCTGTACCTAGGTATAGAAGTTGGTCCCCAGCCTCAAGGGGTTCTGAGAGCTGATATTTTGGATCAAATGAGAAAAATGATTAAATATGCTCTTGATTTTATACATAATTTCAATGAAGGTAAGTAGCAGGCGGGAGTTGTTATCTTAATGGTTAGCTTGTGTGTGTGTGTGTGTGTGTGTGTGTGTGTGTGTGTGTGTGTGTAAAGATATCAGAAAAGGGAGATGGGCCCTAGCCAATTTGGCTCAATGGATAGAGCATCAGCCTGCGGACTGAAAGGTCCCAGGTTCGATTCCGGTCAGGGGCATATGCCCTGGTTGTGGGCTTGATCCCCAGTAGGGGGTGTGCAGGAGGCAGCGAATCAATGATTCTCTCTCATCATTGATGTTTCTATCTCTCTCTCCCTCTCCCTTCATCTATGAAATATATATATATTAGAAAAGGTAGATGAGATGAGCACACATGCTAACTTCACCACTAAACACTGAAATAGCAATTGTTGCCTATGTCAAATTTGCCATGCTCAGGATATTAGGTGTCTTTTAAAAGTTTATTCACTTCAGCCATTCCTCAATGACCAGAATAGACACATTCAAGAAAAGCCACTACCAATTAAAGCTCTCCTAATTTTCCTATTAACCCCATTTTAAAAAAACAACGATATACTAAGAAATACAAATGTCCAAAAAGCATATGAACAGACGTCCAATATTACTAGTAATTAGAGAAATGCAAATTAAAATGAGAAAGCATTTTCTCCCATTAGAGAAGGAAAATATTAAAACCTGATAATATTGTGTTGGTAAGGGTGTAGGAAAGGGGATGGGAAAGACATGCTAAAGAATAATTTTACAGTATCCACTTTTGAAAATGCACAAATCCTATGATGCAGCAATTCCACATCTCAAAGAAACACAAACACATGCACACCCAGTATGTCGTCTACAAGGGTGGCTTCCATAGCATTGCTTGTGCCAACAAAACAATAGAAACAACCTGAGTATCCATCAGTTGGTAAACAGTCACACTACCATGGAAGGAGCTTCAAAATACATTGTTAATTAAAGAAAGCAAGTTGCAGACCAAAACATGCAGTATACCAATTTCCCCAAAATAATAATAAACACTTGCTAGAATATGTATACATATATATGTTAATGTTCAGGGAAAGTCCTTAAAGAAAACACACCAAACTGTGATTATTGAGGAGAGGAGGAGGAGGAAAAACAAGTTAAATTTGTTTTAATTGTTTCCAAGAAGAATTATGTGTTGTAATTAAGAAATAAGACCAGCTGATGTGGTCAGTGGTTAAGCATCAACCTATGAACCAGGAGGTCACGGTCTGATTCCCGGTCAGGGCACATGCTGGGGTTGTGGGTTTGATGCCCAGTGTGGGGTGCGCAGGAGGCAGCCTATCAATGATTCTCTGTCATCATTGATGTTTCTATCTCTCTCTTTCTCTCCCTTTAAAAAATATAAAAAAGAAATAATTTAATTGGTAGATATATGAAATTTTATGTACTATCTATTCATATATTCATATATTCAGTAAATCTAAAACTAAAGCAAAAACAAGTAGTCTATTAATTATTTTTTAGAATAAGTTTACTTTAAATTTTTTTAAATAATAATATAAATAAAATTAAAAAGACATCCTATGTAAATAATTATTCCAACAGGTTGAATTCAAATTGTTGTTGAGGAATGGGTCATTACAGTGACAAAGCTGGTGAATAGTTCAGTGTCTGTGGGGAGTATAATTCCTTAAGTTCAGACTGTGCACCTTACTGTAATCACAGGCATTTTTTTCTTTGTTTGGGAATCCTTTGACTCCAAAGTCATAAAGACTGAAAATCAGCTTGTCACCACCTTTGTCTGAGGACACGTTCTATAAGGTCTAATGGGCCTCATATTGGGAAGGTCACCACCTATTCACACCTTCAAATAGTAAGTGTTGGATATAGTATGCTAAGAAGTGATGCCCTGAGTAGAAGGCCAGAAACCTGAGTGGAAAAACATGGTTTTCAAATCATAGTCCATAGATTCCTATCAGAGGGGTGGGCATCTAGTAGTTGTCCTAGTAGCTCCATGACAGCCAAACCCTGCCCTTTAACCAGAGCAGTTCTTCTATCTGTTCTTTTGCTCTTACCCTGTAACATTTCTTTTAAGCAAAGGATTCTGTGATTCGAACATTTTAAGCCACTATTAATTTAGACTATCCATCTTGGTGGATTTTTACCTAACGTGGGAAGAGCACCATTATCCAAAGAATGCTGATCATAACCACCTGGAGAAAACTCTCTGGAAATGTGCAGAAGAGCTCCATCCTTGGCTCTGTGCTACTCAACATTATTATCGGTGACTTGGATGAGACATGCCTTTATATAAGTGATAGGTGGCAGGAAGCCTGCAAGAAAATATCCGTTCAGAAGGTGGAACCAAAAAGTCCTGACAATCTTTAACAATTGTCTAAACCAGATGTTTTAGGTTAAATACATCAGGAACAAAGTTTTGCTTTCACATTGTTGTTTTTTTAAATCCCAGGATGAGGGCAGTGATAGTCTCTTTTTTGCCTTGGATAAACAGCACCTGGAGAATTGTGGATAAATTTTGAGTCCATATTTCAGGAGGAATGTCTATAAAGTAGAGGTTAGCCAAGGAGAAAGTTGAGAATGTTGAAGAGTTTGAAAACCATGATAAAAGTAATCCCTCAGATGCACATAGAACTTCAGTTTACAAAGTACCTTCACATATATTCTCATGGACCTGCCACATATGAGTAGTGATTGATAGAACTCAGAATGCTGAGACTGGCCGAAAGAAGGCTTAAGGGTGATTTTATTTTAGAGCTTCAGAAGTGTTATATTGGAGAGCCGTTAGACACGTTTTCTGTGACTCAGAGGGAAGAATAGAATCAGTGGGATCAAGTTAACTGGAGACAGAAATTTCCAATTAACAAAGCTGACCAACAGTGGAATGGACCACACTTGGCCAGAAAGATATGGAGAATACCCGAGCATCGATGAAGTCAGGCATTCGAGGCTCCTTCTAACTCTGAGATTCTAAGTAGCAACAAACATACTCCTTTGTATCCTACCTCTTTTTCCTTTCCTCCTAATGGACCTTCTAGTTTAAAAAGGTGACATCTGATAAGTTTCCATCTTCACCTTGACAGGTTTGATAGATTGTAAAAATGGCCACAAATTATTTCCTTCCCTGCATCCATGTCCTTGCAATGTGATGTTTTAAATCTTTCTACCAAGAGATGGAGTCAATTTCTCTTCCCCCTGAATTTGGCTTGGCCACGTGACTTATTTTGTGTCACAGAAGAGGCTTGAAAAAGACTTGCACCTTGGGGCTTGCTCTCTTGCTGCCCTTGGGAACCCCGCACTGCCATTATGTGAATCAGTCTGCCCTATGCTTCTGGACAATGGGAAGCTGAGAAGTAGAGGACTCTGACACCACAGCCAATAGTCCTGCAGCTCCAGCTGATGCCGGTCAAATGCCAGACGTGAGAGTAAGGCCATCTTAGATCACCTAGCCTCCAGCTGACCTGCCAGCTCACCACAAATGCATGAGCAAGCCAATTAGAAATCAGCCCAGCCTGCCTAAACCAGAGGAGCTGCCCAACCAACCCACAGAATCATGAGATAAATTAAAGGATCATGGTTCTACGCCACGAAGTTTTGGGATAGTGTGTTAAGCAGCCACATCTAACTGACACAGAAGTGACCACAGGATATCCACCTCCCAACCCTGGCTGTACTTTCTGCTCTAAGGGCAGAGGAAGATTTTCCTTTGAGTTGCAACCATAGCTCACTATGGACCCTACACTTAATGGAAGTTCATCCTGTTTGCTCAGAGATTGCCTGGTGCATGTAAACTACTCCTTTTTCAAGTTTCTGGGCGTTGGGTTGCTTCATGTTGCTACATCTTTGGAAGTTGGACTCCACTGGTGGCAGACTGCCTGCATCCCAAGATCAGTGGTTAACGTACTTAGTTAAGAGAAGGCGCATGATGCTGAAGTCACCTAACCTGCTAGAAGTCTCCTGAGCATATGCAGGCATAGAATGTCAGAGCTGGACGGCAGCTCCAAGACCAGCTGATTCAAACCTTCCTTTGACAGGTAAAGAACATGAGCCTCCAGAAGCCTCTTGCTCGGGGTTACACAGTGAGGAGATTAGAGCCCTGGAGTCCTGACTCCCAGCCCCAGGCTCTTTCTCTCACACTGGCTTTTTAAGGTGTTTTCTTACGCTGTCCAGCAATGTACTTGTGAACGTGTGTTGATAGGAATAATTTGAGAACATCTTTTGGCTTCATGTTATTTATGAACATCCTCAACTGACATCGTGTGTGCTCCCTGTGACTGTCTTCTTTTTTTTTTTCCCCAATTACATTTGACATTCAATCCGCAACTGTACGTCTTCACTTTTTGGTTATTGTTCTTCCCTTAAAGTATGAACTCCCTTTTTTCAGTTGCCATTTTATACATTTTGTTTTTGCCATAGGGAAAGAATTTCCCCCTTGTGCTATTGAAGTCTATAAAATAATGGAGAAAGTTGATTATCCCAGGAATGAAAATGGAGAAATTGCTGCTATTATCCACCCTAATCTGCAGGTAACATTTGCTGTTTCTTTAAGATATTCAAAATATGAGCCCCCCTGCCCCCAGTGAGTAGTTTTATAGTTCATAAAGGATCTTATGTTGGCTCATTTGTTGTATTCTCAAACACACTGCAGTGTAAGCAAGGTGTGCATACCTTCATGTGATAAATATTTACTGAGTGCATCCTGTGCTGGCTGTAGGATACATCATTGAACATGGTCTACTAGTATATTCTTGTGGAAGTCACAGTCTAGATCAGTGGTTCTCAACCTGTGGGTCGAGACCCCTTTGGCAGTCGAACGACCCTTTCACAGGGGTCGCCTAAGACCATCCTGCATATCAGATATTTACATGACGATTCATAAGAGTAGCAACATTACAGTTATGAAGTAGCAACGAAAATAATTTTATGGTTGGGTCACAACATGAGGAACTGTATTTAAAGGGCCAGAAGGTTGAGAACCACTGGTCTAGATAGACTAAAGTCTAAAGTGTAGGTTAAAATAAAGAAAACCAGATGCTCTAAGAGAATAATGAGGCAGGGAGGGGTGGTCAGACAAGAGCTGTCAAAGTAGGTAAAATTCCTGCCAAGTGGGTAGGAATGATTATATTCATTTTAGCATAAGAAAGCAGAAGCTCAGAAGTTAGATCTTTCCCACAGCCATGGAGCTATCAGTGGCAGACCCAGAGCTCATGTTCTCTGCAGTTCACCACACTGCTGCCACCTCCCTGTGACCACCGCTGAGTAAGTTAGAGCACAACAATCAAAGCCTCTTTCTTTGGAATGTTTTCTGCCATTTCCTGACTCTCCTCAGGTCCCCAATATCTGCTGCTTGTCTGGTTTGATCAATAACAGCATAGTGAAAGCCTGGGGGCGGGAGGCTCTTGGCAGAGTGTAGGAGGTTTGTATCTCTTTTGACAGAATCCAGTGCTAAATGTTTCAGTTGTCTACAGCCTCACACAAAAATGTTTGAAGTAGGAGAGAAATCGAATGTAATTTATGTATTTTGTTTCCTGAGAGGATCAAGACTGGAAACCACTGCGCCCTGAGGATCCTGTGTTTTTAACTCTTGATGGAAAGACAATTCCATTAGGTGGAGACTGTACTGTGTACCCGACGTTTGTAAATGAGGCCGCATATTATGAAAAGAAAGAAGCTTTTGCCAAGACAACTATACTAACACTCAAGGCAAAAAGTATTCGCTCCTCTTTACATTAGACATCACTTCTGGTTCACTTGTTAGGCGATATCTTGAAAAGCTCCACTAGTCTGTAAGCCCCCAAAGGACAGGGTTGCGCTGGATTTAATGTGCCTTATTCATATCCCCAGCACCTGCTTCGGGGCCTTGCACACAGTGGGCATTTGGGCAAATTCTTGAATTAATTAATTAATTAATGGATATCTTTTAAAGGTAGCATATTGTGTACATAGCTTATTCAAAGAGGTGTATTTCTTATTTCTGTAAAGCTTTTTATACATTATACTTTGATTGTTTAACATTCTTAATAAAGTTTTTAAATTCAAATTTTTAAGTTGAAATAGATACTATATACAAAAACTTATTAACTTGAGCATAAAATTAAATATATTTTCAAGCAATGTATAATGCTACTAGAAACCAATGATGCAGACTTAGTTTTTAAATTTTCCATATTTGGACGAATGATAATCCAGCCTATGAACTTTAGTTGTGATATCAATAAGAGATTTTTAAATGCTCTTTTGAAGATTACATGTGAATGAGAAATGAGGGCTGATTGTAAAGGTGACATTATGAATAAATAAAAATCTCTGAATGCCCTTTGTCCACAGACAGTAACCCTCACAAAGCGTCGCTGCTCAGGCCTGTCCACTTGTTCTGCGCTGACCTCAGGGAGCTGAGAGCCTCCTTCTTGAGAAGCTAAGGTTCCTTCCCAATTTGGGAAAGTTGGGAGAGGCACATTCCTCAGAGCTGTCACTTCTCCTTTTGAAAGAACGCACTTGCCCTCATTTGCAACCAATATATGAGGAAGTCTTTGGGTCCCCACAGCATAGGCAGTAAAGACAGAAATAGCAGCGAACAGTGGACACTAGTGGAAATGTGCCCAGACCCAGGTCTCTGGTTCTTAAATGCATTCTGTCAAGAGATTGTCCTCGTCCTAAGTGCCCACATCCCTCACCTTACATGATTCTTCTTTTCAAAGATCTTCCAGCTGGAATGCTGCCTCCCTCCCTCCCCAGCCCCTCCAGAAGCCTCCCCTCTCTCTGCCCTTAGTCACAGCAGCAAAGTAAAGAACATTGTTATCCCAAGATTTGGACCCAGCGGAACCCATGTTTACGGTTTCAAATGTATTTACCAAAGTCATACTAACATTATGTGGAGCGTATATACATAATCCTTTTCATTCTTCCAGAGCAAATTCCATTAAACCAATTTCATTCCATACGTAATGGAATAGAGCACAAACTTTAGTTTTTTCCACATTTATTTTTGCACTTTAACAAAATCCTTTTCCTTGGAATAAACTCTCTTCCTTCTGAATTCTTTAGTAAAACTTCAACTTACCTATCAGTTTTTGTACATACCAAGCTTCCTTCTCCCACAGTGAATGTTCCTTTGTGTTTTATGTTTGAGTCCAATTTTCCTGGGTTAGTTTTGTCCAGGTGTAAATTTTAGCAAGAATACCTTATTCTTCCATCAAATTTAGTTACTTACAAAATTTACAAGGCTCACTGTATGCATATATATATATGCATTACCCATGGACACAGACAATAGGGTGGTGAAGGCCTGGGGCAGGGGGCGGGGGTGGACTGGAGGGGATCAATAGGGGGAAAAGGGGACATATGTAATACTTTCAACAATAAAGATTTTAAAAGGAAAGAAAAATTAGGACTTAATATTTTTTAAAAATTGCAAGGTTCAGTGTAAGCCACTGTGGTTTCAGTTTTATACTGATTATTTCTAGCAAGTCTAATTTTCTCTGACTCAAAGCTTATAGTCTTCAGAGTTTCTAATTAAGTGTGATTTTTTAAAAATTCTATTACATATTGCTGTGTGGCTTTAGCCACTTTAGTTTTAGTGTATTTTGGTTATTTCTAAGTCTGCAGACTTGGTTTTCTCATTTATGAAATGGGGATAATCATAATATCAATGCCCCTCTCATAGGATCGTTGTGAAAAATAAGTGAGCTAATGCATGTAAGCACTTAGCACAGTGCCTAGCACAGAATAATAAATTATTCAAGTTCAAATTAACACAAAAGCCCTTTATGATCAGCCTCTCTTTCCCCCACCATCTCTCTAGACTCATCTCCCTTCAGGTCCACTCTGTTCCAGTCTGCTTTGTGTCATTTATTTCTTATTCCTTCACAGAAGATGGTCCTTCCACCTTGAATTTTCTTCCTCCTTTCTCCATCCCTCCCTCCCGCACCCCTCAGACGTCACTCTAGCTAATTCTTATTTTTCCTTGAAAATGCAACTCAACTCACCCTAGCAGGTTTGACTCAGTGGATAGAGTGTTGGTCTGTGGACTGAAGGGTCTTGAGTTTGATCCCAGTCAAAGTCATGTACCTTGGGTGCAGGCTTGATCCCCAGGGTGCATGTGGGAGGAAACCAATCACTTCTCTCTCTCTTTATCTCTCTCTCTCCTTCCCCCTCCCTTCCACTCTCTCTAAAAATCAATGGGAAAATGCCCTGGGGTGAGGATTAACATAAATAAATAAATAAATAAATAAATAAATAAATAAATAAATAGATACATAAATAAATAAGCAACTCAATCTCATTGCATCCATAAAGCTTTCTTGGCTTGCTCCTTTCCTCTCTCTGCTTCCATCCCATCTCGAAGATATAAACAATGTCTTTTTTTGGTGTGTGCAATCTAATAAGTGCCAAATAAAGTTTAGTTGAATAAATGAGTGTGCTCTAACATCCCTTCTCTACTGAAAAGTCTTCCTATTACACCCATGTCTGTGCCTTCTCTTTGCCTTCTTTTCTTTCTCAGTCACTTCCTGACCTCTCCCATCTCCCAAGTGAAATTCACTCCATTCCACACCCTTCAGACTGTTACTTTGTCCCAAAGAATGGCAGGCAGGAAAACACACTCTTTTAAGCCTGCAACCCCATACAAAAACAGATAAGTATTAACATTCAATAATTCCCCCTATACAAAAACTTTTAGTGGCTTCCCCTAACCCTTGATATGAAATCTCAAGACCTCACCTAGGCCAGACAGGTCTTTTGTGTTCTGGCCTCTACCCTCCTCTCCAGCCCAATTTCATGTCACTTGCCCCCTTGCTCCAAGCAATTTGGCCACACAGAGTTCTCCATCCTCAACTACCCTGAGCTCCCTACTACTCTGGGGTCTTTGCCCATATTATTTCCTCTTCTTGAAAACTTATTCCACCCCCGCACTCCCTTTACCTGGATGACACTCTTTTTTTATTGATTTTAGAGAGAGGAAGGGAGAGGGAGAGAGAGAGACATCAATGCAAGAGAGAAACATTGGTTGGTTACCTCCTGTATGTGCCCCGACTGGGGATCCAACCTACAGCTCGATATGTGCCCTGACTGGGAATCAAACCGGCAACCCTTTGGTGCACAGGATGATGCTCCAACCAATTGAGCTACACATGCCAGAGCAATGACACTTATTCTTAAATGTGTTATACAAGCTCACTGACACTATTAGACTAGCACCAGTGAACTTCAGTTTTATAAATGCGAATCATACAATATCAAAGGCTAAAAAAAATTGCAAAATACCTTCGGAAGGTAATTTTTCATAATATCAAGAGCCATAAAACTGTTCACACTCATTGATTTAGGCATCACACTTTCAGAATATATTCAATAACAGGGATTTCCACTCTTTTTTAAATCAGTCCATCCAGAATATTCCCATAGATGGCACATCCATTCCTAGATTATAGCTAAAGCCTATTTGATCTAGGATGTGGATTATGTAATTCCATTTCTTGCCACTAAAGAAAACACATTCCATTAAAAGATGTTATTCTGGGAATAATTTGAATTAAGTAAATAATTCACCAAATGCAGCATTTCACTTATTAATAAATTGTTTGGAAGCTCTGCAACCTATCAAGACACAGCAGTGTCTTGGCATTTAAGTTGAGAACTGTCATCGTTATGAAAGAATGAAAAAGTGCAAATACATATGAGTTGGGTAATAATGGTGGTAATAACATCAGCTCTTTCATAACAATTTCCTCATTGCCTCCTCACAAAGTTCCTGTGAGGTAGAAAGAAGGGATTTATACTTTCTGGTCTCCAGGTGGAGCCATGGTTTTCTATTCGTGCAAAATAAGTTGAGAGCCAGTGGGGGAGCCAGTAGGGCATGATGGGTAGAACACGGCCTGGGGGTCATACGTCCTGAACCACAACGTTTTCTGGCTGTGACTCCTTGGGCATGTCATTCAACTCCCTGGGTCTCATTTTACTCAAACTCCTTCCAGAGTTGTTGAGGGGTTTCAATGGGGTACTGGAGGTGAATGCACTCTGAGAGGTCAACACTGTACAAAGATGACCTGTGTTATTGTGCTGGCTCTGTCCCTGAGCTGGGACCAATAATAATGCTTCAGGTCCAAGAGGTGGCTTTCCCTTTATCCACTCATGTTGAGTAACACTCCAGGATTCCTAGTAGGTCTTTATATTGGCACCCTTAATACAAGAAAACACAATTATAACAAGGCAAAATAAATATTTATTAGAAATCATAAAAGCATTTCTTCAAGGACACTAAAATGTTCTTACTCTATTTATGACTTCTTTCTTGAACATAGATTCTCACACACACAAAACTAAGAACAAGTATGTAAATTAGAATTTACAAGGATAAGGCACATTCAATGAGAACAAGATGATAATTCTGCATTTGGAACCAAGATCACAGTAAAGAACATGTAAACCAATGCAGAAATCAAGTATGGCTTACAGGCCAGGATGAGGGCCCTGCTGCCTGGGTCCCGCCCAAAGCAACAGGACACAGCTCTCCAGGCCTTGAGGAAGGAAAGGAACGTCAATAACACTGGGCTCTCTCGGGCAGGAGCCTTCTAAGAGCTTAATGACTTCACAGTACAACCTCGCACACCTTCTCCCACACCCCAGGGAGGAAGGTAAGCATCATTTTTATTCCAAATAGATTCATCACATGATGTCTAGAATAATGGATTCTTCCTGAGGCAGAGTTTAGCTAAAGGAAAATTTCCAGCTCAAATCATTACCTGAGCATGGGAGATTCTATCCCTGGAAAATGACTTCCCCTTAAATTGCTGAAATGTAAATCATGGCGTTTTAACATGCCCTAATATGCCCATGGATTTAGTGTGACCTGGTGTGTGTGTGTGTGTGTGTGTGTGTGTGTGTGTGTGTGTTATTTTATGCACATCGATCATAGGGACCATGTAGACCATCAACATGAATCACCTGAGCAAGAAGCCATAGCCCGCTGACATATGTCAACCACAAAGGCAGACTCAAATTTACTGAGTAACCGCTTTTTAAAATGATGGTGCAGGGGGACATCTGTGGTCCAGAAATCTGAACACTCCAGTTTCAACAGCTCTGCTATGACTTCCTGCCTGACTATGAGTAAGTGTGCTTTCCTTTCTGAGCTTTAGTCTTAGGTGTAAAATAAGGGGACTCGTCCTTTTAACCTGATGCTCTTTGGCCCACTGCTTCCCTTCACCTGAGAAACCCATCTAGGCTCAGACTAGCTAGGCTGAACGCCTTCTGGGGATGACTATCCTGCCAACAAATTCTATCCAGCCCCACAGCTTTCCGTACATGTGAGAAGACAAAGATCCCATTACTGATTTCTACTTCCCTAACCTCCCAAGAAATGGAAATGGCTTTATCCATGCATATGGGAGTCAAAGCAATTCTGGAATTCCCAGCTCCAGTGTGTAGAGCATGGCGCCATGAACCCAAATGGCTGCCCTTCAAACCAAGACATCTGTTCTCGATGTATGTAAACGGGTAACTCTAGGTACAGGATGCCAATCTGCAGGCTCAAAGGACCTTAAAGTTCACCTGACTGTGATCTTTAACATCATCCCTAATAGGTTCTCAATCAGCTTCCACTTAAACATCTCCAATATCTAGAGCAGTTGTAGGACTGAATGGAACCAAAATCTTTCCCCTGAAACTTCCCACCTTTGGCACTAGTGCTGCCCACATCTGGCACACATCTGCTCCTCCTGCCTCCATGACAGGCCTTCCCTTTCCCAGAGGACATGCCTAGTCCCTGCTCACACCTGAGCCCGGTCTGACCACTGCGGTACAGAGCATGGTTGGCGCCTGGGTCAGCTGGAAGGGCACAGGCTGCTGCAGATTGTGTGGCTCTCAGGCTGCATCCTTGACCCACCCCATCTCTCCCTGACCCGGCCCATCAGGGGCACAAAGGCCAAGTTTCCACTCACCCAGGTGCTGGCACACAGAACAGCCCAGAGCTGAGAAACAGCTCAGAGTGGCTGCTTGGTTTGCACTTCTCCACTGGCCTCAAGTCAAGTTAACTAGCCAATTGCCACATCACCTAAAGGCCAAATTCATCTTGGTGGCATTTCAAATTAAATTCATGGTTAATGTATTTGTCATTCCACCTCAACAATCCCCACATGAATCCCTTTACCAGACAACCGAGGCGGAGTGGCCCCAGACATCTGGAACATTTCTTCCATCTCTGCCTCATTTCTGCCCCCAGACTGGCTCCGTGTGATTTCAGGGGGAGGAAATCAGAGGACGAGGCTCTAAAAGCCAGCCACTCATCTTGGCAAATGCGCCTTTCTCAACACCTTTTCCTCAGCTTCCAAACTCACAGTTAACAAGAATATTTAGCCCTGACCGGTTTGGCTCAGTGGATGGGGTGTCGGCCTGCGGACTGAAGGGTCCCAGGTTCAAGTCTGGTCAGGGGCATGTACCTTGGCTGCGGGCACATCCCAGTGCGGGGTGTGCAGGAGGCGGCTGATCGATGTTTCTCTCTCATCGATGTTTCTAACTCTCTAGCCCTCTCCCTTTCTCTCTGTAAAAAATCAATAAAATATATTTTTAAAAAAAGAGAATATTTAGTGCCAGAGCATTTCAGGTATTCTGTTGAATTCCTCCGATGAAAAACACTGATGTATGAGAGTCACCTCTGGGTGTCAGGCCATATAAATAGAGCAGCTGCTATTTCTGTTTCAGACGAGGCTGGGACCCAGCTCGGAGGCGGGCACTACTGCAGGGGCCGGGGCGAGGAAGAGAGCCGGGCTCTCTCACCCCATCGCAGCCTCCAGCTGGCTCCAGAGTCAGCTGCCAGTGCCGGGGCTGCCTCACACTGTGCCTGTCTCATCGGGACTTTTGTGCGCGCAAAGAAAAGCTTTTTGTTTTTGCCCCGGCCACCCTGAGGCCTAGTACACAATACTTACATCCAGTCCCAAATCCTCAAATCTACTCCTCCGCTTTCAAAATCATGGACTTCATCTGAAGTGTTTTTCATTTAAAACTGAAATGTCCTTTTTCTATTGAAAATAAAATAATAATAATAATAATAATAATAATAATAATAACAGTGTTAATTACACTACGAAAAGTCTCTCACTTTGAGACAGTTTGAGCCTTGGGGTGCCAATGGGCACGCATTCCAAGGGTAGTTACTGTTCCCTGAAGGTTCTGGAAGGGCATTTCCATAACTCACACCTCCCTCCCCCAGGAGATCGGACTTGCTCAGTCCCCTGTATGTTCTGGGATGAGACCAAGAGTCCCTTCAATTCAGAAGCCCCAGTCACAGCAGGGGAGAGGAGGGATGTGTGGGCTGCGGCTGGGGCTCCCAAGGAGATGCTGACAGGAAGAAAGTTCTGCTCCTCGGGCCCCGCCCCTTCCCTACGGCTCCTCTCCCAGCCAAGCTGACCTGGTCACCAGCTGGTGAACCCAGGGATTTCAGGAACCCCAGGTTCAGGACTGCTGGCTATCCGTCTACACAAACTCTTCACCAAGTAACAAAATCCAGGGTCTTTTCCACGCAGAAAACTGACAACTGCCTCTCAGTTCAGCCCGAGGGTGCTTTCTGCTTCCAGGCGGGCAGAGCCAGGCTCCATCACGAGGCAAAGCCCTCAGCACGCAGTCCCGGACCAGCCTGCAGCACCCATGCGCACACCAGCTCCGGATTCTGCTGCTACACTGAAGTTTCCGGAAACTCATCTATTTCTTCAAACGCATTGAGGGTGGTTTTGCTGTTGCTCCTGGAAGAATCTTGGATTTTATTGAAATCTGCTTTAAAAAAACACAAAACACTGTTTTAGAAATACAGCAGTCTGCAAGGTCGGTAATTCCATGCCTCACTGCACCACCCAGTTTTCCGCTGCCCGATTTTTAGAAGTTATTCCAACTAGGGTTCTAAAACATCCGAATTGGAAGGGACCTGAGAACCAATGTAATTCAATCCTCCCATTTCACAGATGGGGAAAATCAGGGCCCTCAGACTCAGTTTGCCCAAGGTCGCACGGTCAGGCAGGAATGGCTGTCACACGTCCTACCTGTCCGCCTCACGGACCCGGGATCTTCGTTGAGGAAGGAGACGTGTGTTTTCCATTCAGTCCACTTCACCTCGTTGATCCTGCGAGTGTAAGAATCATTCGCACTGTTTCACAACTGCACCTCATTAAACACAAACAAATAGCATGGCCTTTGGGGGTCCTAGACAGCTCCCTTCTGTCTGTCCCAGGGATCAGGGTTTGAAACCTGCCCAAGTCCCCATTTTCCCAGGCCTCAGGGCTCAGTCTCCTCCCAGTGTGTGAGACCCCAAAACTCAGAGAGGCATCACGGGGACATCTTCAGACAGCAGCAGTGTGCCTGACTGGTGAGGGCGGTTCTTGGGGAAGGAGGGAGGGGAGGGGAGGAGGACAGAGCGGGGAGGGGTTAGAGCCCCAGCTGAGAGGATGTGAGGGTGTGAGGATGAAAAGCATAGACGGTTAACTAGGGTTAAGGTGGCACTAGAAGGTGGTTGGGATTCAAACCCCCAAAGAGTGAGCAGTGTCTACGGCAGGGGTGGGCAAACTTTTTGACTCGAGGGCCACAATGGGTTCTTAAACTGGACCGGAGGGCCGGAACAAAAGCATGGATGGAGTGTTTGTGTGAACTAATATAAATTCAAAGTAAACGTCATTACATAAAAGGGTACGGTCTTTTTTTTTTTTTTTAGTTTTATTCATTTCAAACGGGCCGTAGTTTGCCCACGGCTGGTCTACGGTGTTGGATCACAACTGGCGGCGGCAGTTTGGCTAAAGTTCACACTCAGAGACCATCTCTAGAGTGAATATGTCAGAATCAGAGACAATTACAGTTGGAAATGATGGCGAGGTCGGGGGGCCGAGGGGCTATCTCAGTCAGAGAAGTAGAAAGGAAGGTGGTCTGGGATCAGGCAGTCAGATGGGGTAGGAAGAGGAGAACTGAGCAGGAAAGACGGTCATGGCAGGTGCAAGCACTTTTTTAAAATCAAAAAAGTGATATTTGTCAAAGGCAGCTGCCTCATTTCCATCGCCAGTGGCAGTGTGCCTCTGTCCCCTAGTGTCACTGAAGCCACAGGGTGGACAGAAGGACAGAGTGCCCCTTGGAAACCCTTCCCTAAACCAGACACTGGAAAGAGAGAGGCTGTGGGGGCCCCTCCACCCCCACAGAGAGGGGACCGAGGCAGCAGAGTCTCCCTTCCTGTCCTCCTGCAGCTCAGGAAGCCTCGTCCCAGGCCAGTGACCCCGGAGGGGCACATTCGCCTTCTGGAGGGTCCAGAACAGAGCGTGGCTGTGGAAAGCACACAGGAGCGGCACTGCTTCTCTAGCATTCACCACCCGGCCCTCCTGACCCCCCAAAGACCACCCCAAAGGGCCCTCTCCCTCTGTTACCGCAGACACAGCCGGAAATCTTCCTCCGCCACTTTACACAGCTCTCCCGTCCGGAACCTGCTCCTCAGCCATTCTGGCAGCATCTTCTCAAACTCCAAGATCGTCCTGGCTCTCTGGGGACAGAAACCAGCCTAAGCACGTCGCTGAGGAGCCAGCCCAGGAGCACAGTTGTGTGTGAGCAGGCTTTGCAGAGGCCGGGAAACCATGCCTTACAAGAAATGGCACTGAGGCTAGGCTTGACGGAGGTGATATCTCTTCAGGTACCTGCAGTTGCCCCATATACTTCAGTTCTGCCCCATATACTTCATACATGCACACTCACACACACATACACACAAAGTACACACACACAAGCACATATACACATAAGTGCATGCATACATATACACACCAAGTACACACCCACAAGTGCATGCACACGAAGTGCACACACAAGTCCATGCACACATACACAAGTGCACACACACAAAGTACATACCCACAAGTCCATGCACACATACCCACACAAGTACACACGCACAAAGTACACACCCGCTAGTGCATGCACATATACACACACAAGTGCACGTGCACACACCACCAAACAGCCCACTCCACCCCCACTGGAAGCTTAGTGCATAGATCCTGAGGTTCAGCTAATCTACAGAATTCAAAAATGAAAAACCAGAAAGCTCGGGGAAAGTGTCCAAACTGCTTTAAATATGACATAAACAATGTTTCTGGAAGTCCAGGCGCTTCCTAACTGAAAATGTTAGGATCCTGGGTCCCACAGTGACGGGAAGTGCCGGCGTCACGTGGTCCCATTTCCATCCCAGGCTTGGAATCCCCTCAGCAGTTTTCCTGGCAACAATTTGTCCAATCGCTCCTAAATATTATCCACAAGCCGATTAAGAAGGCCCTAATCACTAGAAACTTCCTTGCGTCAAATCTTTTTCTTGCAGTTGCCCCATATACTTCAGTTCTGCCTTCTGGGATCATAGAGGGAAGTTGCTCCCTCTTTCAAAAGTAGCTCTGCAGGTACCTGAAGAGATATCACCTTTGTCAAGCCTAGTTTCAATGCCATTTCTTGTAAGGCATGGCTTCCAGGCCTCTGCAAAGCCTGCTCACCACCTCTGGCCATTACTGTAGTGGTGTCCTCAGCATGTAAGGCCCACCGTCGGTGAGGACTGTTGAGGCCAGGATGGAGGAGAGCAGAATTGACACCTCCATTGTGCTATACCCTTATACTCCTCTTGATGTAACCTAAGGTCACATTTCAACATCCACATATCACACCAGGACTCTGAGCCGAGCACCCCCATAAGCCTGAGTTGCTCTCACACCTGCTGTTGACCCTATACACCAGGAACCTAGGCGAATGCTTCCTCAAACCTGGCCAAGCACAGGGACCTTATGCAGATTCCCAGGCCCCGCCCCAGGTCCACCAGTGCTGATGGCCAATAGCGTGTAGTGAACTGAGTCCCCGTGAAGGCTCCCACACCAGGGTCTCCACCAGGCTCACCTGCAGGCGCCAGATGCGCTCACTCTCCTTGGAGACGTTCTCAACCGTCTCTCCCATGAGGGCGATGAGCATGTTGAGGAGGAGGACGAAGGTGAGGATGACGTAGGTGATGAGCAGGAACAGGAAGAGGATGGGGTACTTGGAGTTCTGCTGGATGTTCAGGTCGCCCAGGCCTATGGTGAGTTTGAAGAGTTCCAGCACAGCATCGCTGAAGCTGCCATAGGAGCTGCAGTCCTTGTGGTCCTTGGGACACTTCTCAATCAGCGAGGCCAGGGCTGGGAGGACATCACAGGGTGCTCTCGTCAGCCTCTGAGCCTGGTTAGTTACCCAACAAGCTCATGCCTACTTGCAGGTACACACACGCCCCCACAGATGCAGGCCTGCCTCCTGCCCGCTTCCTCTGGCTCTTTCAGTTCCATCTCCAGCCCCAGCTCTTCCAGAAGCCTCATCAGGCTGATTCTCTGCAGAAAGCCCTTCTTGCCTAACGAAGCCCATACCCTTCTGTGCCTCCTTTGCCCCACCGTCCGGCCCTTGATCGCCCACAGGCTTGCGGAGTTGCTAATTATAATCTATGTGGCCCTGGCTCCCCATCCAGGCTTTGAGCTCCCGACTTCCTGTAGCCCAGGTCATCTCCCCCAGACTGTGAGGTCCTGAGTGTCCTCCCAATGCTCTGCAGTGAGATCCCCTGGCCGAGGCCTAAGCCCTTTCTTCTCTACAGAAGTGGCTCTTTGCTGGCTGGATGGCTGGATGGGTAGGTGGGTGGGTGGATGGTCAAATTAATGAGTGAGTAAATAGATGGATGAATAAACAAGATAATGAAAGATCAAATAAATAGGCAAATTATGACACAGAAAGGGTATCAGGCAGATGAAAACAGATGCTTAACTTCAAATGCCAATGACCACTGGGGGGAAAAACCGGCATGGAAATATAAAACCTCATCTCCCCATGCAGAGGTCAGACATAGGACCAGGTTGTGCTGTTCCCATCTGTTGTAGATGGAGAGGTTTTAAGAGGAGGCTCCCCACCCCTGGTCCCCAGCAGACCAAAGGCTCTCCCAGGTCTGTCTGAAGCGAACCCTGAGATAACATAATGTGGAGGGCCAACGGGGATTACCTCAATTCATTGCTTCCCTCCTGGTTTTCAAAGGCCATCAATCACATTTCTGTGAGTTCATTTCCCCATCTGTAAAATGGGGCCTAAACACCTGCCCAGCCTCTCTCAGGCTGTGAGGGTCACATGGGGGGATGTGAAAGTGGGAGGCATATCCCACAGCGGGGATGGATAAGAGTGACAGGCCTGGCCGAATCCTAGAGTCTAAGCCTCAGTCACCGTACGATCAGGGATGATGATTCCCCCTTGACTGAGAAGCGAGAGAAGTAAAAAGATGATGATTGGAAAATGCTAAGCACAGCAAGGCTCTGTTGGTAGCTGATGTAATTGCTGCTGGGGCCGCTATGTGCTCTGTCATTCTGACATCTGCATAAAGTGCTTTAACAAATGTGGGAGTTCCTATTATTTATAAATCAATTACCTCCTCCGAATCCGAGTAAGAACACGATATATACAAACAAGAACTTCAGAACATCGTGCAAAATGACCTACAAAGAAAAAAGAATGATTTGAGGGCAAGATCTGAGGACGGAATCACCGTACACCGATCTCGCTGCTTCCCACGCTCTCCCAGGCTCCCACCCTAACCATGGCCTCAACTCAGGCCGTTCTCCCTTGCCCTTGGCCACGTCCCCCTGGTGCTCCAAAGCTCAGCTCTGGACCCCACCTTCTCCAAGAAGCCTCCTGTTCCTGCTCTCCTGCCTCCTCCCCGCTCCCTCTTGGAAGACTGTCGGCCTCTGTCCCTGCGGATTCGCCCTGTCCATGAGCACCTCTCTTCACAGTCTCGCATCTGGGATCCTCCCTCTTCCTGGGGCAGTGGTGTGCTGGAGCCAGCTCATACCAGCTCACCAGAGCTGACTACTACCATTTCCTGAATTGTGTGAGCTGGTTGTTAAACAAGGCCACTAATAAAAATTAAATCATATCAACTTATAAGTAAAGATATTATATGAAAAATAGAGATAATAGTTAAAACTCATTACTTCTAAGTTATTTTTCTATATTTTAGAGTTATTTATGCTCTCAAGATTATTTATATCTATTGTAGCTATATGGTGGAAATAGTATTAATAGTGTTATTTTGCATCTCTTCCCAGCTCCGTGTTCAAAGATGTCATGTTGGTAGCTGGAACCACCAGGGTGGGAGTAGTTATACCATAGAACTTGGTAAATGTGCCCAGCCAGCATCGACTCATGAACTAGGAAGTCATGATTCGATTCCTGGTCATGGCACATGACCGGGTTGTGGGCTTGATTGCGTGTGGGAGGCAGCCGATCAATGATTCTCTCTCATCATCGATGTTTCTATCCCTCTCACCCTCTCCCTTCCTCTCTCTAAAATCAATAAAAATATATTTTTTAAAGAAATTGGTAAATGCTATAAATCAGAGATTGACCCATTGTTTTGTTGATTGCCTAGATCTAGATGTAAGACAGCAATGGAGAAAATGTTAAAGCAAATTAAATTTAAAAATGTGTCCTATCTGTAGCTGCTACATTGTGAATAACACAATAATAATGAAATCGTCTTCTAGTATTTGAACACTATTATCCAACTCAGAAAAGAAGTGGCTCACATCATTGACAAACAACTGAAGTTCCGCCATGTCTTCATTTTCACCTTCGTTTTATCCCTTAAAGAAAAATATCAACCAACACTTGTGTTGGAAGAACACTCGTTTGTCAGCTGAAACCATTGGTTAGCAACAGATACAGGCATTCAACAAAAATCAACAACTTACTCAGTGAGACTCGACTAGTTATGTGGAATTTACTATACAGAGTATTGTATGTTTTATTAGGAAGGAAACTGTACTACATCCTTTAAATAGTAAATTTTATAATAAACATGTATCTGTGTGTGTGTGTATGTATCTGTGTGTGTATGTGTCTGTGTGTGTATATGTATCTGTGTGTGTGTGTGTGTGTGTGTGTGTGTGTGTGTGTGTGTGTGTTTCCCAGAGAGCCAGTTGTTAAATACTTACCAGCACACCACTGCCTGGAGCTGAGAACATTCCTTCCCAAAGTGTATCCCTTCTCAATGCCCAACAAGCCCAGGCATTTTAGGGTCTGGACACTTAAAGCTGACCAAAGGCAAATGGAGACAGTGGCATTCAGAACAGAGAGCAGCAGTCTGCCCCGTGGGCAAGCCCCCTTTGCTCTCCAGACCTCAGTTTCCCCATCTGAGAAGTGACCATCCTCTGAGGGCCCTCCCAGCCTGCACATCTCTGACGCCCAGAGGCCCCAAACGAACCTTCTGGATCATGACGCTGTACATGCCCATGGACTGGAACCCCCGCGTGTAGTAGAGCATGTTCGCCCAGCCCAGGGCCATGGCCAGCACGAGGCAGGCGAGGTACTCTTTGTAGGCAAACAAGTACAAGAAGACAGACAGTATCACAAGCACAGCTTGGACAAAACTGTTCAGGAGACACAGGAGACAAGGGCCTTACTTACTTCTCAGCATCAGGGCAGGTAGGCAAACCCCCCACCTCCCTTTATACCCTGAACCGGCACCCTGGGGGCTGATGCTGAGGAGATGGATAAGGCTGCCCAGACCCGTCAGACTGGGCAGTCTGGGGCCAGCAGGGGGCTGGAGCAACGGACTTTTTAAAGCACAGATCCCCAAGGCCCCACCAGATTCTTGTTCAGAAGACCTGGAGAGCAGCCCCGGAGGCTGTATGTGTTTAAATCACCACATGATTTCTTTGTTAAACCCCTCTATGATTCTCACATAGATTCATAGAGAAAGGGTGCAACGGATAATTGCATTTATAATCAAAATGATAAAAGCTGACAACATCTATACTTATAAGCCAATCATAACAAAAGTATCCTCAAACCTACTTTTTTTTTTCTTTTAACAGCATAGACCAACCTGGAGATGATTATGCTAAGTGAAATAAGCCAGTCACAAAAAAAAAATAAATACTGTATGATTTCACTGATATAATGTCCTTAGAGTGGTCAAATTCATAGAGACAGAAAGTAGAATGGAGGTCACCAAGAACTGGAGGGGAATGGGGAGCTGTTGTTTAATGCGTTTAGTGTCAGTTTTGCCAGATGAAAAGAAATCTAGAGATTGGCTGCACAGTGTTGTGAACACTTAAAAATGGTTAAGGTGGTAACTTTTATGTTATGTGTATTTTCCCACAGCTTAAAATGTTTAAAGTACCACATATACCAAATGTACAAGATCAAAACCTACTCCTAAGCAGTGTGTACACCATCAGTAACTCAGACATCTGGATAAAAACCTTCTCTCACTTATAACATCAGACAGTCTGCACCGTTAGAAAGTGACTGGTTAAAGCTAGGACACGGGCCGCCTTGTTTTTCTCGTGCAGTGAAAAGCAAATGTTTGGGTGATGGGTGCCTTTGGGGCTGAAGGGAGGAAGCACATCCACACCTTTCCCTACGCTAACAAAACAGCCAAGAAGCAGAAAAGCATGGCCATGCACTGGTGCCTTTTGTCTGCACTAGAACCACTGGCTGCCTAAATGGTTTTTCTCTGGAAGCACCATACTTTCCAGAGGGGACAAACTCTCATGTGACTTGCATCGGGGGGCAGTGCCGCCCCCCGCCCATCCTTCACTGCAGTATCTGGGGGCCGCACCTGCCCACAGGGATGAAGAACCCAGTTCACACCTCTGGCAGGCAGGTACTTCCTGAATGAAACACCTAGGCAGTTGGAAACATCAGGCCAAGCTTCCAGGTCCTATAGACCCACCCTCCCGGAGAACTCAGAGCAGGAACTTCAGGGGCATCCGTGCAGTGAGGAACATTCTTCAATGCTCGCTCCAGGTTTAATCAGCCTCTGCTCATTCAGAGACAGGACCTCTGAGGTCAGCCGCACACGACCTCCTTCAGACAGGTCTGGGCTAGGCTTCCTGGCAAGAGCCCAATGGTAGCCAAGCCTGCACTGGCATGAGGAGAAGATGATGGAGAGGCTGGGACTGGCTTCAGTACCACTGAGGTTCCGAGTGACTGTGCGGGACTCACTTCCCTGCTCTGGGCCTCAGTTTCCGAACCAGCAGGTGAGACTCAATGATCCTCAAATACTTTCCAGCTCCCATCTGCCAGGGTCCAAGATGGTACGTCTAGACCCCATGCAACTTGGAGGAACTGGGCTGGAAGCCTCCAGAAGAAGGTAAACAGCAGGGCTGAGCCTCTCCGTGCCTTCCCCCAGCTGCCTGCCACCCGGGGCTCTGTGGCAGGGTGGAGTCAGCCATCCCTGCAGCCAGATGATGGGCACTGACCTCGTGTTTTCTGGGCCTCCCTCTGGGCATCTATGTGTCTCTCTTACCAGAAGTGAGCGAGGCGGTCCCTCGCCACGGGGGTGGAGCAGAATGGCTGGGACAGGGTGACACAGTAGGGCACTTGTTTCAGAGGGACACAGCAACCACCAGATAGGACCTCAGCCCTGCCTGTGAGGTGGCGACCGAGGGGACGGACCTACTTACAAGACAAAGTGAAACCAGGCATCCGAGAGGATGGACTGCAGATCCGAGGGTCTCAGCAGGAAGATCGCGATGCCCTGAGGCCAGAAAGCAAAGAAAGTCTTCAGCCTCCTCCTGCCTCTCAGTGGGGGGTCTGAGGAAGGGGGTGTCTCCCCAGGACTGAGACTCAGTGTGTGAAGGCCCAGCCACAGCCAAGGTCGGGGCTACTGAGGGGCCCTGTGGCTGGAGGACAGGTGAGCCCAGGTGCAGGCTCCTCCGATCTTTGTGTATCTCTCACTCTCACCCTCATGCTCACCCCAGAACCTGCAAGGCAGCACAGCATGTCGCTACCTGCCAACCCTTCAAATACAGGGATGGCAAAAGTAGGCGAATAATAATAATAAAGAATACAATAATTAATCAATAATGATACAAGAATCAGTTCTGTGTTTCAAGTGCTCACAACTGTGGACCTACATTGGCCCGCCCCTGTGTAGTCTAGCTTCCACCTTGGAGTTTAGTTCATACTGTTCCCCACGCCCACTCGGTAATGGCCTTCCCCCCCATGTCCTCAGGCCCACTCCTACCACGGTAAATGCCATCTCTGCACTCAAGCCTTCCTTCCTTCCCCTGCCCCCAGCAAAGGTCATCTCTTTTCCTCTGAGCACTGGTCTGAACCCAATGCAGGGCCTTTTCACAGTCTATCGCAGAGTCTAGAAGTTTGTGTCCCTCTGAAATCCCCTACCGGACCGTGAGCTCAAAGAGGACAACTTTCCCTCCTTATCACCTCCCCCAGGGCCCCATATTAGATGATGTTCAGAATTTACCTGTTGACTCATTGGATGGATGGATGGATGGATGGATGGACCAATCAAGTGATCAATTGATAAATAGATGGAAGGATGGAAGGACAGAGGGTAAGGATGAATGGGTATTCAGATGGATAAATGAGTGGCTGGGTCACTGAGAGAGGGCAGGCGATTGAATGGGTGGACAGAGAGGAGAGGTAGATGGGTTGCTGAGTGGTTGGGATGGGTGGATAAATGGCAAATAGAAGGACAGATGGATGGAGGGGTACTTAGATGAAGTAGGGTAAGATAGACCTGCTTATTTATTTCCACTTTGTAACTAAGAAATCTAAAGCTTAGAAGGGGAATGGCTCCCCAGAGCCCCCCAGCAGTAATGGCCGAGCAGGGTGGGATCAAAACCAAGCCTGCTGTCACCTGCCTGCATCGCAGGCCAGTCCGGAGGGTCTAGTGGCTCACTCACCTCCTTCACAGAAATGCACATGGCCCAGATGAGCACGAACATCCTTCCCAGGAGCTGCAGCCACCCCATCTTGTGCGTCAGGGCCAGGGGGTGCGGCAGGGCCTGAGAAGAAGGGGGAGGAATGGATGGTGCAGGATGGGGGGTGAGGAGGGCAGGGGTAGTGCCAGCTCTGGAGGGACCTTGCAGAACCCTCAGGCGGGGCCAGAAGCCAGCAGGGAGCCCGATCTCTGTACGGGGCTAGAGGAGGAATGGCAGCCCCCGCCCCTGCCTTCCCCACCCACGCTGGGAATCCAGATCTCCACAGTGAGGGACATGCTAACAGCCCTCACGCCTCCTTACAGGAACCATCCATATTCAGACACTCACAGGACCTCATCACAGTCAAATGAAGCTGAAACTCTGTGCCCCGGGGAATGCATGGAAGCTAAGGCCCAGAGTGGTGGGAAATCTTGTATGAGTGACCCACCCCGCCCCCTCACTGCCCCACTCCCGTATCCTGTGGCCCTCACATCAGAAACACACAATCAGCTCTAGATTTAGGCAGAGCCTGGGCTCTGGGTCTCCTAATTCTCTAGTTCTCCTCCCAACACGGGTCAGCCAGAGGCTGAGCACCTGGGGCTCAGCCCAGCTAAGCTCCGGAGGCATATTCGGTTCCCTAGAAACGTGAGGGATGACAATTAGGGAAGCCGAGGAAAATCTCGGCCTCTCTGGGCCTCAGTTTCCCCATCTGCACATGGGACGGCTCCAAGCTCCTGCAGCCCTGACCACCCCATCACCACCCCCCCACCCCCGCCGCCATCAAGGGGCCCACGTACCTCCTCCTCCCGGGGTCGGTAGTAAGAGATGAGAGTCAGGGTGATGTTGTAGAAGAAATAAAAGAAGAAGGACAGGAAGAACATGTACTTGGCAAACTTCTTCCACTTTATACGCAACAGCGTGTGTAGGGGCTCCAGGGTCAGCATCTCGTGCCGGTTCTGGGGGTACACACCACAGTCACCACGGAGACGGGAAGAGGAACCACAGTCAAAGGCCCCCATTTCAAAGGGAGCTCTGAGACAGCGCTGCCCTGCAGGGGGCAGTCATTACGTCCAATGGGCTGGTTCGGCAGGAAATGTCAGGACAGTCATTTCCAGCTCCCGGGGCTCCTTGCCAGTGGGCCCAGGCGGCAGACAAATGCCACAGGAGCTGGGCTCCCAGCAGGAGCATCTGCTGCCCCGTGGGAAGCAAGGGCTGGGAGGGAGAAGGAGTATGACTGGGGGTCTGGCTCCAACTTAGCCCCTCTTCACTGTGTAACCTTAGGAAAGCCCCTGAGCCTCTCTGGTCCTGCATCTCCTCATCTATACTGACATCCATCAAACTGCCCTACCCTCGAGGCTGCCTGAAAGGTCCATGAAGAACCCAGACAAGGCAAGCTCTGGGAAGCATGATTCTTGATAAAATGTAAAGAGTGAAGATCCAGTCTGCTGCTTCATGTCCCCCCAAAGCCAAAAACTTCTCACTACTGATCCTCTCTCTTCCCCTCACCGCCCCTTCTTGCCTCCTCCAAGGAGGCCTCCCTGATTGCCAGAACTATACACTCTCTGTCCCTCACTTGGGACCATGTTTGAGGGAAAAGGGAATTCTAAGCACGGCCATAGAGAATGAGTAGGGTGGTGGGGGAGACACCAGCCATCCCCACTCCCACCACCATATCCACACTGCCCAGGATTCTGGGGCCAGGAGACCCTCACCCAAGGAACCCTGGGAACAAGTGAACCCCACACAGGCCCTGCCATATTGTGCCAACTCTGTCCATAAGGCAAAGAAGTGGGGGATTGCAGACATGTCCAGCTAGTGGTCTTTCCCGTGTCCCCAGAGCCGCCCCTCCCCCGTGCCCTTCCCCAGCCCCTGGGAGACCCACATCAATGTTGGTATTGTAGACAATGATTTCCAGCACCGAGTTGTCTGTGGTGGTGTCCACGTTGGTGAGGTCGTAGAGCGAGGATGATACGGGCCCGTATGCCCAGTCGGTGAACTTCCTGGACAAGCTCCGGAGTCGCTTCTCCTTGATCTCACGACTGAGGATGTACTTCAGGATCTGGGGACAGGAAGTGGGACAACTGTCAGCCACAGGATGGAGCTGGGGGCCCAGAGAGCCAGGAAGAGGCTCTTAAAACCCAGTTCAGTGAAGAATCTGGGAACTGACAATTATGAGAGATCATTTCTGTTTGGCCTGGATCTGAGAAGAAATGAGAAGTTTTTCCAGCTTCCCCATCCCACCCTCAATCAAGACCTGCCAGCTGAGGCTCGCTGCTCTGGCCAGACACACGGAGATGCAAGACACCAGCCTTACAGAAAGGCGGGGTACCCCCTCTAAGTCAGTGATCCTCAAACTCTGCTGCATATTAGGTCACTGGGGAACATTAAAAAGTCCCACTCCACCCTGGCTGGTTTGGCTCAGTGGATAGAGCATCGGCCTGAGGACTGAAGGGTCCCGGGTTCGATTCCGGTCGAGGGCACATACCTCAGTTGCAGGCTCAATCCCTGGCCCGGTTGGGAGGCTACCAATCAATGTGTCTCTCTCACATTGATGTTTCTCTCTCTCTGTCTCTCCCCCTCCCACTCTCTCCAAAAACCTATATAATAAAAGCGTAATATGCAAATCAGCCATCCAGACAACCATCCGGGACCACACTATGACACCCACTGGCGCCAGGCCAGCCAAGGCGGGTGCAATATGATTGGTTGGGGGCCTGGCCATCACCCCATGATTGTCCACAGAAGGAGGCCCAGGCCACTGACCCAAGGGCTGCAGCAGGTGGGCAGGGCCTCCCTCTGTCAGGGAAGCCCGGGTCCCAGGTGCCGGAAGGAAGCTGGTGCCCACAGCCGGGGGAAGAAAGGCCTACTCTTGCACGAATTTCGTGCATCGGGCCTCTAGTAAATAAATAAAAACATACATAGTCCCACACCGCTGACTGACTCAATCCAAATCTCTGGAGGGAGCCCAGGCATCTGTAGCTTGTAAAGCTTCCTGGGTGGTTCCAAAGGGCAGGCCAGATGGGTAGCCTGCTCTCCAGCTCACTACTCCCCAAAAGCTGAGTTTTGGGGTACCCTAGTACCCTGGGGGCCAGGGCTTCCCAAGGCACCAACCCAAGGCCCAGGAGGAGGGACCTGTTAAAGAGGACAGTGTCAGAGCCCTGATCTCACGTGAGACAGTGGGGTTCCCATCTCATCTCACGCGGCAGCCTTGTCTGCACAGCCCAGGCCGAGAGCTCCTAGGGACAGGGCAGGTCTCCCCAAAGTCAGTGTCTGTGTCTTAAGCACAGAAACAGAGGAAGCGGGGGGGAGGGGAGACACAATTCCTCCTTTGTCAAAGCTGTTCTCCATTCCCTCCTCCCCCAACAAGACAATGAAAAGGTCCCTTGTGGGACCAGCCCTGACCACTGCACCAGAACCCACGGCCCTCGGGGCACCCGCTCCCCACCCCCCACCTTGATCTCAGACCAAGCGTGGCTCCAGGCACCAGGAGATGTGAGCCCACCCCAGCTCGAGTCTCCACCAAGGCTCCCGGGCAAGCCTGGAGTTTCATGGCCGCATCACACGGGCACAAAGGCCATAGCAGTCACGTGCTCTGCTGGGCTCTTGGCTCCGAGTTTCAACCTGAGGGGCAGGCTGGGATCTCTCCAGAGTTGGGACTAGCAGCCCATTGGCTCTGGACCCAGAGCAGCCATTCTGGGGCTCCTGTCCCCCTGAGAGGCTGAAGGCCCCCAAGGGTCAGACACTCAACCACACTCAGCACCTGCCACCCAGGAATCCTCAGCCACAGGCATCTGAGATTGTGTCCTACAGCCTTAAGGCTCCCCCACTCTGGCCCCAGAGAGGGGGCTCCCAGGGCAGGAGACAGAAGAAGCATGGAGTATGAGAGACTAAACTCCAGAGGGTAGGCCCGCGCACTGCATCTCAGTGGCTCTGTGTGGTCATCAGAACAAACCCAGCGCGGGCCACAACTGCACTTCCGAACCTAAGAAGTTCCCCTGCCGAGGTGTGGCCTATGGGGCCCCAGGCTGGCGGATGGTAGAGTGCCTCCTACCCTCCCACCTGCCCCCAAGCCCCACCTCGGCCTTGCCCATCTTGGCGGCCAGCTGCAGCGGGGTGAGGCCGTCATTGTTGCGCATGGTCTCCAGCTCCCAGTTGCCACTCCTCAGCAAGATCATGTCATACATGCGCTTAACGAAGTCATTCTGTGTCTTAAAGTCTTCGGCCACCGTCACCAGCGCATGTAGGATGTTGTTGCCCCGTGAGTCCTGCGAGGTGATGTCTGTCTGCTGGTTCTCCATCAGCAGCTGCACGATCTCAGGCTGGTTGGTACATGCTGCCAGGGCAAGGGGTGTCTCGCCTGTGGGAGGGAGAACACTGGGGCTCAGTTCTCTCATGGACCAGGGTGGTGCTCCCCAAGTCCCAGGACTGAAACCCATATCCTGACCATCTCAGTAGGATTGACCCCTGAGGCTTCCTGTCCCTCTCCCCAGCTCCCCTTGTATGGGAAGAAACTGAAGCTAGATCATTGCAATAACCCCTTTTATTAAACACACCAGGCACTTTCCTACCTCAGGGCCTTTGCACAGGCTGTTCCCTCTACCTTTCATGCTGTTTCTCAGATATCTGCATCACTCCCTCCCTCACTTCCTTCAAGTCCTTGTTCAAATGTCACCTTTTCAATGAGTCACCCTAACTATCCTATTTAAAATTGAACTCGCCCTAGCTGGTTTGGCTCAATGGATAGAACATCAGCCTGCAGACCGAAGGGTCCGGGGTTCGATTCCAGTCAAGGGCACATGCCTGGATTGCAGGCTTGATCCCTAGTAGGGGATGTGCAGGAGGCAGCCAATCAATGATTCTCTCTCATCATTGATGTTTCTATCTCTCTTTCCCCCCTCCCTTCCTCTCTAAAATCATAAAAATAAATAAATAAATAAAATTGAAATCCACCTCCTTCCTGCCCTAGAACTCGGTTTCCACTTCTCCTGCTTTACTTGTTATTTTTCGATAGCATTTATCATTTTCTAACATGTTAATTAACGTTATTTACTGTGTTTATTATTGATGTTCTCTTTTCCATCTAGAATGTAAGTTCCATGAGGGGAGGGACCTTTGTTTTGCTCACTGATACATTCCAAACACCTAGAACAGTACCTTCTGTATACTGTACAGTGAGTGCTTGAGAAATATTTAAGAACGAAGGCAGGTGACTCACACCTGGTCACACAGCAAGCCCGGGGCAGAACCAGGACGGGATAGCAGGTCTCCTGCGGCTCACCTCCCAAACTGTCCTGTCCCCTTTCTTCATCCCACCCCACAAATGTTCCCCAACACCGGCTTCAGCCAGACCTGATACTGGGCAACGGACTGGACAAGACCTGCCCTCAAGGCCACCCAGACCCATCTAGCCCGGCTGATGCAGAAACCACCCAGAAGAGGAAACAGGTCAGTGGTTGTCGGTCAGTCAGGGCTGGGGTGGGGTGAGAAGCCAGGTTGACTACAACGTTGTACCAGGACAATTCTTGGTGGGAGGGAGCTGTTTGTTTCCTGCCCTAGCCTGGCGGTATGCATTTGTGGACAGTGGGAGAATTTTCATACTCTCACTGTTGACTCCGCTTGCAGTGCTGAGGCTCTGAGCACAGAGCACAGAGGCTGAGCTGGCAGCCAGGGCGCCCACACCAGTCCTCCTACACTGGGCAGCTCATTCCCCTGCCCAGAGCCTTCTCTGTGCCTGGGACCCAGGGCTCTGCTTGCTCTCCCTCCCAGGTCTCTGTTCCTTAGGCCAGTGGTCGGCAAACTCATTAGTCAACAGGCCAAATATCAACAGTACAACGATTGAAATTTCTTTTGAGAGCCAAATTTTTAAACTTAAACTATATAGGTAGGTACATTGTTATTAACTTCATTAGGGTACTCCTAAGCTGGCCTTTGCTAAAAACGTCCTCAATCTGAGGGGTCGACCTCAGCGAACGTACCCCCACTTCTTCTAACACCACTTCTTCAAAATAGACTCACCCAGGCCGAAAACCGACTTCTGTGCATGGGCCACGAAGTTTCAAGCGCCCACACGTGGTATTTTGTGGAAGAGCCACACTCAAGGGGCCAAAGAGCCGCATGTGGCTCGCGAGCCTTGGTTTGCCGACCACTGTACTTAGGCTACCGGGGTGCCTTCTTAGACACTCCCCCACTGCAGGTTCGCCACCTCCCAGCCCCGCCCTCTCTGGCCCAATTCAGAAGGGTCGCCCCTGCCCCCACACTGGACCAGGTTCTGCTCTCCTGACCGCTCAGAGCCGGCCTCCAGCCCCCAGCCCCTAGCGCCGCTGGGAGCCGAGTCTGTGGGGCAGCCCCTCCCTCCGCCCTCCTTCCGGACCCCGCCCCCCAGCCCGGCGGCGGCACCCACCGAAGTAGAAGCCCTCGTGCTGGTACTTGGGGTTGAAGAAGACCCCCTTGGCGTGGGCGTTGACGTCGGCGCCGGCCGCGATGAGCAGCGCTGTGATGTCTCGCTGCCGCCGCTCGATGGCGATATTCAGCGCCGTCTGCCCTGCGGACAAGGTGGGGTGGGGGGCGGGGGGCGCTCAGGGCTGAGACCCTGGTGACACCCTGCCTGGCCTCTTTCCCACCCTCCACGGAATTACGGCGAAGTAAGCCGCCTGTCTGGTCTTGGTGTCGCCAGCTGGGGGCACAGTGCCCGCGGGATGCAGTTTTGCTTCTCGTTCCGCAGCAGCACAGTCTCGCTGCCACACAGGAGGGGGCGCTCCAGGACCAGGGCAGGGGCTCTGCATCCAGTCCCCGCGCTGAGGGCCTTCCCAGAGTGGCCTCTAGGCCCATCGGGTAAGTTTAACGAGGCTGGTGGGGCCAGCTCAAGGCCTGCTAAGCCAGGTGAACCTTAGAACCTGAGCCTAAGGGCCAGGGGAGGCAGCAGGTGTTGAAGCAGGGAAGTGACATGACCCGAGTTTGGGGTTTAGGACATGTGCATTTTTTTCTGGCTGCAGAATTGGAGGCGGTCTTAACAAGATCCCAGACTTATGTGGAACTCTGCTCGGTGGAGCGAAGAACCCTAGGAGAAAGAGCCCTCAGGATGGTCTGTGGGGCTTGGGGAAGAAGGCGTGTCTGGCCTGGGAGCTGGGTGACTGGTGCTGGTGACTGAGAAAGAGAGCAGGGGTCAGGAGCAGGGAGGTGGAGAAGGGACATTAACCCTGTTGGTAGAGCCTTCAGAACCTTCCCGTGTGTGGGGGGTAGGGGAAGGCAGGGGGGGGGGGCGGCTGTATTTCAGAATGTCCCACCAGAAACAGTATTTCCCAAAGAGCTGCTGTCTTGCCATACATAAAAATAAATTCCTGGTGGGTTAAAGAACTAAGCTTTTTTTTTTTAATTGGAAATTTTGGTTATAACTAACCTTTTGGTACAGAAAACCGTCTTAAGCAAGACCCAAAATGCAGAAACCATAAATAAAAAACTGACATGTTTGCTTACATAAAAATTAAATATTTTTGTATTTTGAAAGACCTCTTAAAGAAAGTTGAAAGGCAATTGGTAGGCCAGGGAAAATATTTGAGACATATAAAAGAGACCATGTATTTTTTTAAAGTCCATAATAAGAGCTCTGCAAATCAATAAAAAGACAAACAACCTAAAAGGAAACAAGAAAAGAATATTAAGAACCCCTCAGAGAAGAAAATACACATCACCAATAAAGAAACTGAAAGATATTCAGAATCACTGGTCATCAGGAAAATGAAAATTTGAACCTAATGAATTACATTGGAACCTAATGAGTTAAAGACTTAAAAAGAAAAGGATTAGTGAAGAGTATGGAGAAGGAGAACCTTTGTATTCTTTTGTGAGGGGAGAGTAAAGTAATACTTTTTGGTGGCAAATTTGTCAAGCATTCTATTTTTTATTTATTTTTTTAGAGAGAGAGGAAGGGAGAGGGCGAGAGAGATAGAAACATCAGTGTGAGAGCAAACATAGATTGGCTGCCTCCTGCACTCCCTTTACCAGGGATCGAGCCCGAAACTCAAGCATGGCCCTTCTAGAAGTCCATCCACCAACCTTTCTAATGCACAGAATGCACCCAATCAATTGAGCGTCACTGGGGCGGGGCTGTACCACTCTCATTTTAATGTGCATGCCTCTGAACCCAGAAAGGCCAATTCAAAGTCTTTTCCCTAAAACTCGTGTTCACTGTGCACAAGGTCATAGACAAGAGTGTGCATTGAGACGTTCTCATAACAAAATATGGGAAACCACCTGGATGTCTGTCCACGGGAAAAGGGTGACATTAGCCACAGTACAGTTATACTCAGACTAAGCAGGCGAAGAGGAGGCAGACTTTAATATTCTGGCATGAGAAGGTGTCAAAGATGTATAGTTAACCCCCAAAAAAGTAAGTTGTAGAACAGTACAACTTATTTATCACTGCTCTGCGTTAAATAAGTAGATAAATGAATAAATAGTTATCTATTTGTATGTGCACATACACACATATGTCAAAAACCTAGGAACGTCCTCAAAGCATACACCCCATGCTAATCATCTCTGGAGAGGAGAGTGAGAAACAAGCGAAGCGTTCCTCTTTAACTTAATTAAAATATTCGAATGTTTTACAATGAAATTCTATTCACGTACTATTTATGCAATTAAAAATAAATTGCTATGCTGAACTCAGTGATGAATATCTAGAGGTTCGTTATGCTAATATTTCAAAAGTATGCTTAAATTTTTCAATAAAAATTTTAATTAAATAGTTTTTTAAAAAGTAAGTCCCTGAAGGCCTCTGATAAAATGCTAAAAATAATATTTTAAAAGATGTCATTGTATCCTCTTAGCAGTATAGAGAGGAAATATCAGCCTCTGCCATATGGGGAAACTGAGGCCCAGAAAGGCCAGTTGATGCCCAAGGTAAGGAAAAGCGCTACTGTTGCAGTCCCTGCTGCAAGAAGTGCCTAGAACAGGGGAGGGAAGGTATCAGCAGCTACCATCAGGAGGAAGAGTAGGGGAGAGGCTTGTGTCTGGGAAGACAGGGATAAATGGTTCTTCCCACCATGCAGAGAAAGACTGGGTGCCCACAGCCCCCCCACCAACCCACCAGCAAGACATAGACTCATGACAGAAGGAAAGGATAAGGGGAGGCTGAGAAAGGAGAGAGGCAAGATTTGCAGCCAGGACTGCAAAGCCTTAATAGAGACACTCATCTTCATGTAGTCACTCATTCAAAACACATTTATTAAGGACCTCTTCTGTGAGACCCACGGGCATCAGAGGATCCACTATGGGGAAGGCAAAGTCCATCCCTGCCCTCAAGGAGAACATGCTGCCAGAAATAGGAGTCTGTACGTCCCTACAAGACTGACAAGAAGAAAACAGGGCCTGAAAAGGGAGACGATTCAGGACAGAGAAGCTTGAGGCACTGGCCTAACCCTCCTTGGCTACAGGGCTAGTATCAACTCCCTAGTGACAGGCTGAAGCATTATATAGCGCATTCCCTTTCTCTCTTTGCTGTGGCTACCAGGGAACTCAATGTGCAGTTCTGCACTCAGTTGCAACAATATTCCCTGACTTTCCTCTCTTCCAAATTGATAGCTTTTAGTTTTTCATAATCCTTGACTTTTTTTTATGTAACAAAAACTCTTATGAAACTGTGCAGAGTTTAAATGAATAAATAAAAATAAAATGACTTTATCCCATGAGAAAAGGTAAGGGCCCAACCTAGACTCCCACCTGCAAAAAGCTGAGACGTTTCGTGCCCCTGGCATATCAGTAAGGCAGCGTCCGTAATCCTTGAGCCCAGCATTTTTGCCACAAGCATCTCATTAGATCCTAACGGGATGTTTATGGACTCCAAAGATTCAAATGAGGATCCACCTTACTGATTTTTCACAACATATTTCCTGGGCAGGGAAACACTATCCCAGGGGGTCTCCTTGCTCCTCCCTGTTCCACCTGAGAGAGAAGCCACAAAATTGAGACCCAATTGGGGCAGTTGATAATAATGACAGTGATGATACCAATAGTTGCCATGTGTTGGCCCCGCCCAGCTCTCTAACCTCATCTCCAGCTTTCTTTCTTCATCATTCCAATGTACCTAGTTCCTTCCTATCTCAAGTGCCCTTGCCTTGTTCTGGATCCTTCTCATCAGACAGACTTCAGGTCAAAGGTCACCTCTTTGACCATCCACCCTAAAGTTGCCCATCCCCAGTTACTTTCGGTCACACTAACTTCTTTCATTTTATTTTCAAAGCATTTTCCATATAAAATTACCTTCTGTAGAGCCATGGCCTTCATCTGTCATGTTTGCCACTGCACCCCGGTGCCAAAAACAATGCCTGGCATGTGGTCGGTGCTCAAAATTATTTGCCCAATGAAGGAAGAAAGAGAGTGCCGAGTGCCACGCCATGTGCTTTGGGCTTTCAATGATCTGTGTGGCCTGGCCGTCACCCACTGTCTGCACACCCCTCCCCCAGGCAGGTACCTTCGTAGGCCTCCTCGGTATACTCGGCGTTGATGAACCTGTCCAGAATGTCGTTCTCATTGGCAAAGGCGAGCAGGATCCGCACGATCTCCTTGGTGTTGGGGTTGATGTTCAGCAAGGCCTTCATCAGGCAGGTCTTCCCTGTGTCTGAGGCCGTCAGCTTGTGCATGAGGAAGTCTGCAGGCAAGATCACAGGGTGGAGCTGCAGGAGGGGCCCAGAGGAGGGGAGCCCAGGGTGTGGGAGCTGCAGCCTCAGACCTCAAGATCTTGTGCATGGCATGGCCCCTGCTAGCCTCCCGGAGCCTACACACCCCACTCTCCAGCTCCTTTGCTGGCTCCTCCTTCCCAGAGGCCAGGAGAGCCTCATCTTTCACTCTTTGGCTTCTTCACCCTCTCCCTGGCAGGAGGCAATCTTACCAGTACCCATGGCTTCCCACTGTCTAGAAGTAGACAAACATCCTGAAGTCTCCAGCCTGCCCCTCCCGGTAGCCTACAAATAGAGCTCAACAACTCGCCCTAAACTGCTACTCCCCTAGTCCCCTAGACAGCTTGGGCCCCACCACCCACCAAGTCACCAATGGCACCACCCGACTCCTTCCTCTCCCTCACTGCCCACGTCCTTGAGTCCTGCCAGCGTTGCTGCCTGAATGCTGTTCCCCTCCCTCAGCCCTCCGCTGGGATCCTAACTCCACCTGGACAGCAGCCTCCTCCGGCTTCACCCCCATCCTCCAGGCAGTAGCCAGACCATGACCCTCACCTGTCTAAGCCCCTCCATGGCTCCCCATTGCCCTCAGAGTCAGGTTCAAAGTCCCTAACCCAGCACTCAAGGCTCCTCACACGCCAGCCCCACGGGTCGGTGAGAGGGAAGGTGGACAGCAGGAGCCAAGCAGGGACCCCAGCCCCACACCCCCTGCCAGGGCCTGGCACTGACCGGGCACGTCCAGGTTGCGGCGCCTCTTGCAAAGCTCCTGCAGCTCCACCAGTAGCTGCACCAGGTCCTCCACGCAGCCCTCGGACACAGCCGCAAAGAGGCACTTCTTCAGCCGCTTCTTTTTCCGCCTCTGCTCTTCTTTGGCCAGGTTTGCACTGAGGCCAGAAAAAGTTTCCAACTTACCACACGTGCACCCCCACCCCTACCCTCTCCTCGTTTCCCATCAGAGCTGCCGTGCCTACAGGACACTGCACCCCCAGCATCTCCGCGTGCTGTCACAGTGCCTAGTAACCCCTCCATTCGCACTCCAGGCCCCTGGGATCCAAGGCATCCTACGCAGTCTCCCCTTCTAATCCAAATGCAACCACATTTATCAAAATGTGTATTTGTATACACATAGTAATGAATAGGAAGGTACCTGTAATTACCTTGAAAGTATAGGATTAGGGGAAGGAAAATTTCATTTTCATATTTTGTGTTGTTTGAATGTTTTTATCTACCCCTCCCCGCCCCCACACTCCAAATAGGCAATCATGGTAACGCGTTGACGTGTATCCTTTGTGTGTGTGTGTTCTTGCAAAATGTACACTTGTTTGGTGTTTCACCACCTCCTCCAGGCAATAGGCAGACCATGCATTTTAAATTTGCATACATGGTATTGCATGAAGTTCCCATTGTGCTGCCTGCTGTAATGGTTGGGTATTATTTTTACAGCTTATCAAGTGTAACACTCCCCTC